CGAGAAGTCGGGATATCGTCACAGAAGGCCACCGGAAGTGGTAAGCCGCCACCCGACATGGACCCTACTGCGCAGGCGCGTGTGTACTAGAAATGTCAGAAGTCATGTAAATAAACCGCTGGATGAAAGAGGGCTTGGGTAAAGGAAATTCCCGGTTTAAAGTAAAGAAGGAAATCACATGGTGGGTGTTTCTAGTGTACAACTCTGAGTTGGCGACGGCGTTTCCAAGATTTCAAGCTCTTTCTACCTTTAATATATCGCGAATGTAAGAAATAGAAATCAGTAACGTTGATAACAAAGTTCTTATTCACAACAATTTGTTTTGATAACAAGAGCCGACGTTCCGATGACCGTCTGTCATCTTCATGAGAGCAATTATATATGACTGGTTCACTGTGCACTGAAGCTTGGTGTAATGAATGGTTCACTGTGCACTGAAGCACTATGCACTGTGCGTGAAACGTCGGCTGTTGTCAGTAAACGACTGGTTGTGACTAATAAGATCTTCGCTATTCAATCAATCACCAGTCTCATTAAATTTTTCACGAAATCAGCGTATACTATAATCTCAAAGCAGGCAAATGGAAGTCCGGTTCCATCTCAGTATGTTATGTGTGTTTTGCAATATACCGTAGGTGCAGTGCCGAAAAAAAAAGGACTGAAGTTTGAAGAAAAAAAAATGCCGTCATGGCTGTGATGTTTTGGTGTCGGTTTGTTTACAAGTATTTGTTTGTTTGTTTTGTTTTGTTTTGAGGGGGGTATTTCCAAAATGTTTGGCTTTTTATTCATTGAAATTGCCTTTTCTTGGTTAGTTACTCCATGTTTGCTTACCGCAGGACACCTGGACAAGTTCGGGACAGCCCATTTTTATATTTTTCTCCGAACCAGTTCTCTTTTTACGTGCTACCGTATTCCTCCCGTGTTCCGACTGCGCAGTTCCCCCATCGCGTGTGGACTAATGGTGGTCCACGCACAAGTTCAAAGTCAAACACAGTCGACCAAGCATGAAACTAAAACATACACAGGCTTTTTGGTATACGCCGCGCGGTGCTGCCACAGAAAGAAGAAACGGCACGTACAAATGTACAAAGGGTAACAAACGCTTTTGCAATCGTCCGTTACGCAGTTCCCCGTGTAAGCACGGCACGATCTTGGATTACGTGACACTTGTTGTTCCGCCTCGACCTTCCAGATCTTTTCTTTTGCTTTACAAAGAGATTCAGGTACGAGATGGACAGAAATAAAACAGGCTAACAACTTTTGAGGGTTGAGTAGGGGGCTATATTAGCACGAATACGACTTGTTTGAGACAAAAGAAGATGACCAAGGTTACTTATCAAGCTGACTGATCAATATATAATGCACGAAAAGATAGCTACCTCTCACTGACTGCAACTCCAAATCCTGGCGGTGTCGACGGCGCGGCACATTTCGAACGGCCGTGAGGAGGCTTCGTACGATTTTGATGTTGTAGACCATGAGAAAAGAATCTTGAAGATGTCCTAGAAATTTATCTAGAACTAACCGAAGTTGAATTGAGCTACAACAGTTATGACGTGTGTAACATGTTGGATTATGATGGACTAAAGTGATGCACTGATGCACTGACGTACATGTAGGTCTAATTGCCTGCCAGTACTAATGATGCATGTTTTGATCAAGGAATCATACATTGTACAAATGTTGACACAATTAGGCTGGGTGTCCAAGAAAATTGACCATTTTTTTCTATCAAAACTAAAATTTTGCATTCATTCAAAAGCACGAATTTGTCGGATCCGTCAAAAATACCACGCACTGCCTCTGATGTGTTTTAAACAATAGTAAGTTGTATGAGGTCGTGGATATCGAGATGGGTGCAATTAACCCTGTACTCCGAATTCCGAAAGGTGTTGAAGAATATTAACTTAATTAACTACATGCATGTAGTTAATGCATTGTAATATGTTACCTAGCTGCATTGTAATATGTTACCTAGCTGTACACGTCTTAATCTGCCATTGTTTTGTGTTTATAAACGTGCAGTCTTCGTCATCCTGTGACGGACTACCAACGTGCGATGAGCCGGCCGGCAATGTTTGAAAAACTTTCCACAAGAGTATCAAAGAGAAGTACTGAAGTGTTTTTGAAGGAAGTTAGCTTTCCAACTTACATCACGCGTCCACGTGTAAAAACATGCGCAGGGTCTCACGGTCGGACACACATTGTTATATTCCCTTCACAAAGCTCGGAGTGGATGATTTCCCAAGTTCTTAATGTGTTTTGACGCAGATCACAAAAGAGAAGTGCGTCACCCCGCACTTCAGCGCCGACCAAGTACGTTATAATCTTCTCCAATCATTTCATCACGGACGCAATGTCAGCAAACTTCACCTTCAACACGCGTGCACGCTGAAACCACAAGCCCTTTATTAGAGCGCCTCCGCGTGTGCGAGCGAAGGTCTTCTTTCGTTTTGCGGGGTTCAAGAGCGTCGTGCTCTTGTGAAAGAGCTGATTGAACATTGGGTGAGTTTGAGCTGTGCGCAGTGGCGCCAAGACCGTCTAAAAAGGCACGAGCTCGTTACTGGAGGCACTCAGACGGCGGTAAGAAGACCAGGGCGCCAGGCGCCACAGCCCCGGCTAGATCCGGGCGTAATTCCATCATAACGGCGGCAACAGGCCACACACTTCCCAAATATTCAACACGATGACAGGCAAAGTAATCGACATGTATACGAATGAGGGTGGAAGCTAGTACGTGTTAAGGGTGCACCTGAAAATTAATTTTGGTTGACGCGAATTTGAAGGAAACTTTGAATTATGACGATAGCCATATTCACATCGTATATACATTAAAATGATTATCAATTACGTCTGGTATTTAAGTTTTTTTTTAGGATCTGAAACTACAATGTATCAGTAAAATGCAACTTGCTAGACTTCTCTTTTTTGCTGATAAATGTATCTATTCTACTTGAGGATAGACTAGACAATTTTAAAACTTTTTGAAATTCTTCGATCGAAGGAAAACGGGTAGAACCATTATAGCTCCATGGTAGTACTTTGTCATATTGTGTTCATAGTATTGCTAGTATTGTGTTCATGAGCGCAATCAGTTATAATTAACAGAAACTGCCGTATAGAAAATTAACTATCATAAACAGTCTACTCCTAATATATGACGACTTTTATTTTCCTCGCGGTTGATAGATTGGTTTCCTTCTGCGTGAATTTGAAACCCACTCGGCTGCACGTGACTCTCGTGTTTTGATTGTGTTGGTTTCGTCCAATCTCCTTTCCCGCCGCAAGGCTTTGACAGGCCGGGCCCGCTTGTTTGACAGCTCGATAACTTCAGAAATGTTTGCGGTTTTCGGCCCTTGGTGAGCGTCATGTTGCCGGGAGCCGCTGAAAAGGAGAATGTTTGTGCCCGCAATGAATTTTTGACAATCGTATTGGACGTTATTGCGGCCGGTGCAGGCCGGCGTCGGCTCCCCTCTACCGGCGGCGCCGCGTGGCATGTCATGAGAGTGCGGCCCTGGTTGGTCAGGGTTGTGTGATGGACAGGCGCGTGACGTAATGTATGGGCCAAGTCAAGTTACACCCCTGTTTTGTCCTCCTCCAAACAAACGATGGGGCGACGCTTTCTAACTCTCGTTTTCCCTGGTAGGCGGGATTCTATGACCACTACCGACTGTATGCGGATAAGGGGGCGGGTGACTGTCGGAGATAACCGGCTGCTAGTACTAAAAAATCCCGGATATCAGAAAACGTTTCTCTCTAAGTCTTCCATTCCAACATTTCCTTTGATATATCAAGGACGGTATATATTTTGCTGTTTGTTGGCGTAAGACTTTAGATCCTCCGTAGTAACTAAGTTAATTTCGTGCTGAAGATTACTATAATCAAACTATATTGATCATATTAACATGATTATATGTTATATAGAGTATAAAATGGAATGTTTTGATCGCAATCAAGGTTTTTATGTGACTCTACTTCGGGTAGTGACTTTTGGGCTCTGACCCAAAAATGGATTAGGAGGGTGACGAGAAACATGAAACTGTATCAAAGTTGACAAGAAAAAAATTATACGCATTGTGTAATGTCGACCCAAAGCTAAAGAAAAAAAAAGAATTAATCGGTATTTTCACAGTCCAGGTCTCGATTATTTACGGGCCATTGTGAAGAAAAAGCACCTTCTCCCCGCTATGTTCACCTTTGTGTTCTGACGTAAAACTTTTTTTCGTCTTGTCAGTAGGCCACCGTGAAATCAATATTTTATATGTATTGTAAGTTTTTTGTGTGAAATAATCACCAAATCAAGTTATCTATTGGCTACATAGAATACATAGAATAATTTTTGTGTCAGATCACTCCGATTTGATCATGATACGATTTTTTTCTTTTTAATATTTTCTATATCAGATACTTTTCGTGTATTCCCCATATAACATACTAGCATTAGTACTGTGCCGTAGTCTAAGTAAGACTTGTTAGTAATGTAATGTACGTAATAGATTTACATGTAGATAATCTACTACATGTATTATATCCATACTTCTCCAAGTTAGTACTAGTAGCATGAACCATAGTAAAATGATCTCTGTAGGAGTGTATGATGCACTTTTTGTTTTATGTTTTATTTTCATGATTTTTAATCCAGTGCATGGTGCATTTTCCTTTTATAGCCTTGCAGTGCACGAATGAACTAGTGCAGCTATGGTAATGCATAATGCTGTTGCAACACAGCATGCAAGCTAGGTCTTTCTAACGTTTTGTGCTTCCTCAATCCGTAAATCTTGGGTCATACTAAAATTATAGTAAGGTGTATAGTTGGGCTGTGTAAAAAAATCTCTATTTTTTTTACTCTAAACGCCCGGGAACGCCTGTATTGCGTAATATTACGTTATGTGTAAATGGTGATGCGAACCACGTGTTGTCCTACAGAGGCCCACCGATCGCGGGAAATTGATCAGCGGCTGACCAATCAGAGCGCGCCCTGCGGATATTTTAATTACCCCTGACAACAATCTCCTACGTCATATTCCGCCTGGAAAGCTCGAAATGTGAGGCTCGCTGCCCCTTTCTACCGACGTATATGTGTGTCTTAGAAGCTCTTAAACTCCGATATTCCTCTCTGTCACGGACCCCAGTGTCTTGAGGAGTGTTTTGGAAGTGTTCGCGGAGAGTTGGAAGCCGTAGCGCCGGATGTGTGACGAGGATCAGTGCGGGTAAATCGTTCCGACTTGCCGGGTTTGCAAAAAAATGGATATGGAGGACTCTCAGCTCGAGATCGACCCCGATTTTGAACCGCAGAGCAGGCCACGCTCGTGTACGTGGCCCCTCCCCCGACCAGAGGTTTGCACCAAGGAAAATAAGACCGATGGCAGCCCAGAGAGTGAGCAAACGACGACGGGAGAGGGAGGGATCGAGCCCAAAACCGAAGCGGGCACGGTGCCAGGGCTTGCCGAGCCAGCCCCGGCTGCACCGACCACCGTAGACGCCACGAGTCTGCAAGCGGAGCTGCAGGCGCCACAGCCCAAGAAGAGCTCGCGGCGGAACGCGTGGGGGAATTTGTCGTACGCAGACTTGATCACGAAGGCGATCCAAAGCTCGCCAGAAGGCCGGCTGACCCTCTCCCAAATCTACGACTGGATGGTGCGATGTGTGCCATACTTCAGGGACAAGGGAGACTCCAACAGCTCTGCAGGATGGAAGGTAACGTAAACCCCTTTTCAGATTTTTGACATGTCCCCTTGTTGATTTTCCGCCGGGACTCGAACCCCGTACCCCTGACACTTCCACCCGTTATCCCGAGTGATAGCTCCTCCATGTGCCCTGTTTAACTGTGGCCGAGGTCGGAATCTTGCAAATCGTCCCGATCGGAGCGTGCGAACCTTGTGATTTGTGTAGAAAGCACACCGCATGGGCCGCAGCAATTTGGCGAAGGAAACCCGAAGCCATCTTGAAAACCCCCCTCCTCTCTCTCGCTGCGTGCAAACCTGTTCCCCTGATTCGACAGAAAAAAAATCGCCGCGTGGCGCCGGGGATTCCAACACTCCTACCGCCACAACAACACTCAGAAAACCACAATTTAAACCTCCCAACAACCCTCTAAACGCTCTTTATTAACTGCTAGATGTCAAATCGTACAAACTATCGCGTTTCTGTCCCCTGAAGGGTTAAAGTTCCGTACTGACCCCACAGGGAAGAGAAGGGTAAACAAACAACTCTGTACAGAAGTAAAGCATTTTACCGGTGCCCACAACTACAAAGTTTTACCTTGGGGGGACAGGCTGTGTTTTTTCTTCCCGTGACTGGTACCCAAGGTTGACCCCTTAGAGTTTCTCCCTGACTCATTTCCTGCCGTAAAGTTCTCTCCAAGAACCTCTTCTCAAGAATGTAGTGGTCACAGATTAACAGATGACCACTCACACGTTGTGTGGCCACTACAGTACCATATATCATCACTAAAAATCTTCCTCTCGAATTGATTTATAAACAAATGACAGTTGTCATGCAGGGAATTCATTTCAAAGCCACAAGTTTTAAAGTATGCGTTCACACTAATCTAATTTAGTAAAATCTAAACAGGCTTTGTTGCAAAGTTTTGTTTGTGACAACTTGCAACATAAATAGACTGTCTGGAAAGTTGTCATTTTTCATAACAAATGATACTTCACATTTCAACAGTGAAACAAATTATGCAAATAATAATATTTGGCTCACGGTATGTTATTTATGGTAAGGTAGATTTCATAACAACACAAATTAAAATCTACCCTACAATTAATGTATTACCAATGAACCAAAGCTCCTCGTAAAAAGTAAATTGTGCAGAAAAATGAGAAATGTTTTGTCCTTAGACGATGTGAAGGCCACTTGTGCACTCGTTTGTTTTGGCTCATTTGAAGAAAATCTTGTCACAGGTTTTTGGTGCCAGAATTATGTAACTGGTAGCTAGCATTGCTGTAGAATAAATTGAGTCTACAATTTGTAATAATAAAAGTCTAAAAGTATGTGTAAGTGCAAGCATTTTGCTTCTAAATTTGTTGTAATGTAAATAGCTTTGTTAGATTTCCTGATTTGATTGTGAAAAGTTATGAAACCATGTCATGTGACATAGGTAAACAAAGGGAAACTCAGCAGAGTTGTGACACCTGTGCATTGTTAGGAGCAGGACGTTTGTAGGTAACATTCGGAACAGGAAGTTTAATTCAGGTCAGTTGTGATGCAAAAGCCAACACAAACAAACCATTTCACTGTTATTGTGGGAAAGAAGGTACAGTAAGGAAGGACTAAACACAATTTTATATTATTTATTTATTTATGTTTTGATTAAAAGACGGGTGAATGCATTCAGTGCTAAACGCACTGTTTTTCAGGCATGCCCAGTTATGCACACATGCAGTTTAAAAAGAAACCACTGACTTTGGTTTTTAGTTTTCATGCATGCATGTTTGTGATTTCAAAGACATAAGTGGTATAGAAACACAAGATGAAAGAAAACTTTTGATGCTTCAAATTATGCTTGCCCCGTTTTCAATGCATGCCCCGTTTTTTATTCATGCAAAAAGGCTATTTTGGGCACATTCATTCCTTTGAATAGTTAATTGGCACAAAATGCATACCCATTATGATTTATAGTATGGAAAAATTATGTAGATTTGTGTCAGGTAAAAGAAAAGAAAATGGTAGTTCAAAACTAACTACCAAAATATAAGGGTTCTTCCAAGTAATTATTGTGAATAATACGCTACAATGTTAATGTAATATTTGAGAACTCATTGAGCATGTGTAGATATGAGACATTTTGCATAGACTTTTTTTTCGCCCAAGTCTGAAAAAAGTAATATCCCAAATTAATGTCTAAAACATATACATGTACTAGTCTTCTTTTGATGATTTAAATTTGTTGGCGTATGTCCAAGTTATCAAGCGCACTTGCCCGTGACAATGGGAAGTAAGGATGTTTTTGCTCTGTACGCTTGCGGAATACGCTATCGCTTATTCTAGTCTTCGGCGGGAACAAAACAAACCTACGCACTTTGGCTGAGTCCTTGGACAGAAATTATGTTCCTTAAAAGGGTCAGTCGATTTCTGTTACTACTTCGGATGCTGTCCTTGACATCGCAGTCTTGAGAAATATCTCCCAAGACTTTGCATAAAAGCACAGGGATGCGGTATCGAATGGTAGTGTCTGATTTAACAATAACAGATTTGGTTATGTGTGTCCTTTTTCCATTCACCGAGAAGCAAAGGAAAAGAAGTCTCGATGTTGACTCCGTTTTGTGGAGTGATTTAACGAGGGAAATGTCCAGACACCATTGTACTGCAGTGTATGTAAAGGTATTTTGCTGACAGAGATAATCATGCTCACAAGTTACAGGGAAACCGGGGGTTCTGTTGTAAAATTCCCTTTACAAGATACAAGCGACTTAACGATGAAGTTGGATACCGAACCCCTGTCTCGTGATGTAGAAAACGGACTATTTTTCTTTGTAGCGCACTATGATCGCATTTCGGGCGACCGTGGAAGGTACTTTCCATATAAGGCAAGGTCCGGGCCATTTTCTTGGAAAAATGCCCATATTTGGCAGTTCTCGTCGGGAAGAAACGGTCTCGCGAAGTCTGGCGAGATGTGACGTCAGGCAGACTCATGTCTTGCTTTCCGTCACGGCAGCAATATTTTGTAGAGGAGGGGATGTTTTTTGTCTTACAGTTTTTATCAATATCTCACATCACGCAATGCAGTACCTTTACAATGGTACATTATGATAGACAGAAAAATGATGTACAGCATTACGTCCACACAGATTTTTATTATTTTTAATTTATCTTCCCGGCAATGACAGATTTCAGGCAAAGTGACATTCCTAGACATGCATGGTACCGTTACCAGTTTTTTACCTGACCTGAAATGTACCCCCTCACTTCTGCATACCAAGTTTTATCCTAGGATTGAAGTTTCAGAAACATTATATTCTGGTTTTTGAAACAATGATACTACACGGGTAACTTTTCAGCTCTGAGCTATGTTTATTATTAAGGGGGATGGACAATGTTAGAGTTGTGTAACTGGCACAGAGCCAAAATGATAAGGGCTTCATTTTCCAGCTACCTGGTTCAAGACCTTTTGGAAAGACACGTAAATGACAAGGATGGTTCTGAAAAATGTATCACCTATACTATGGCTACAGACAAAAATTTGCATAAAACAAGGATATAGCATTGGTCGTATAAAAACTAGAATTTGATTTACATGGTGTTAACATAGAACGCTTTCTATACAACATAGTAATTGACATTGGTAAATTTAGTGGAATGTATCATTGCATGGACCATCCATGTGGAAAACCACAAAATTGCAAAACGCCATGCTTGGATTAACCTTTACCCTACTAAGCACCACTTATGTCACCACAGTTATGCAGGTTATAGGTTAAATTAGCAAGATGAGGGTTAAATTTTAACTAGTTCTGAAGCCAAGGTTGTTGTTATTACATGTACTTTACATTTGTGAACTTTGGACTTTAAATAGTACATTCTGTACATTGTTCACTATTCATAGCGTGGGGCTATTGAACTTCACAAATATACAAACATGTATTGTTTATTCTTCTGGTGAAACATACTTAGAATATACATGTACATACATGTAGTTGTAGTAGTAGTTGAAATTTGACATCTCTTGTTGGCACACAAGTTTGTTTAAATGAGGATTCTAAAAATGATCACAATGATGAATAAAGTACAGGGGTTTTTCTAAACAGGGGAATAAGGGAGCTGCTCCCTCATGTAACCAGCCAGCTCCCTCATATCAATTTTCAAATTGAACCCTATGTCATGTGGCTACTTACACACCATTTAGTCTTTCTCAAAATGATCTTTTTCCAGTAATATATATTAAGATGTAAAAACAATACAACACTGCATTCTAGCATTACAAACTGTGTTACTCTTATTAAAAATTTCCCCTCAGTGGCTTCGTTCCTTGCCATGCTTGTGATCTGCTCCCTCATGCACAATTTTTTGTAGAATAATCCCTGAAGTAGACCTTTTTATGTTGACTCGAGACTGTACACATAGTTGTTGCATAAACGTATCATAGGTCAATGTTCAATCATATTAATAATTGAAGCCATTGGACTTTCCATTTATTCTTGTTGTGCCATCAAAGAAAGATAAAAACATGACTTAAGTTTCTGACTCAGACCCAACTAGAACTACGTGTGCACATGTTCATTTAGACTATTATAATTTATCATACTTGGATAAAAATAAGAATTGAAATCATGTAAAACTCATGGTAAGAGAGATATATTGAAGTTGATTTCAAATCATTTGATAGGTTAGTATAACATGTGCTGTATAAGGCAAACAAACGAACAAACAAAATGTAACTTCCTTGTCACCTGCCCCATTTCTGCATACATGCATTATGATTTCACCAATAACCCCTAGAGGGTATAAGGCAATTACCAATATACCTCACCCTGACAGGTGAGGGCATAGTTCTATTTTGGGTGATAATTGAATTACGGCCACGTCTGTATTCCTGTCACGTCTTCACCTGCTGAGGATCCTCCGCGCTCACGTGCTCGGTAGTGTGTCACATGTCAGCTGGATGTAATTTGTGGCGCTCTTAGTAGGTCACGTAATTCACGTAGGATTACGGCTAAAGAGACGGTTAGTTTTAAATCAGTAGTACGTGGACAGGGAAAATGCTGGATTTTTTGGTGGTGTCATCACTAAATGACATCATTAGGCCGTACTAATCAAGTTTGCAGGTTTTTGAGAATGGCAACATGTAAACAGAGCCTGAGGGGAAGTCCATACCTTTGTTTTGCACACACAGTTTGAGGAAGTAAATTTAGTCAAATTCAGGTTTCCTCCTAGCCCTCTGTCTTTGTCTCCTCTTGCTAACATTTGACGTAAAATTTTTGAAAAACCAAGGAAATAGATTAATGTAGCTTTATGATCATATCATCAATTAGTTTTATTTTAGTTTGTAAAATGCAGGTGACTTTGGAACAAATAAATGCATGATTGAAAATGCGAGTACAAAAGCTTTTCACTTGTACTTTATAGTTGAGTTAACAGTGACAATAGACATGTCAATCAATGTTAGTGGTGTAACAAAATTGTCTACGTCGTAAAAAACCTTGGACGACCTTGGTTTTGTTTGACATTTCTGTGTGCTCAGTCAACTTTTCACTGCTGGTGGTTTGTGTGTGGGGGGGTCAGTCTGTTGTGTTATGCATACCTGTACACCATACTCAACATGGCATTTAGATAAAAGTCTAGTCAGGAAGTTAATTTGCATTTTCTTCTATAGAACTACTGGCAAGCATGATTTTGGGTGATTTGAAAAGAATGTTTCAATCGTTAACATCAATATTTGGAACCGGATATTTGACTATATTTGGGTCTTTTTGCGAGCAGGGTTTGTACTGTTGTAGTGTGAAAACAAACTGTACTACAGCTTATGTTTTGTCAATAATTGAAATTTATTGCCTCATTGTAGCAGCTCAACAAAGGTTAAGTCACCAATTTACAGAGAATATTTCTAATTATAGATTTTGAAATGTGCAAGTATGTTGCAGTAATTGTGTGGGTGGAGCCATGTATAATCAAACCTGCCCTTCCTGTCAATCTGTGGTTACAAAATCTCCTCCCTCCCTTCTTGCCACTCCACTGCAGCTGCATTCAAATACTTACGGACAGACAAGCAAACACCAACACACTAAAACTCTACCTTTCTATCCAGAGGTAACAAGTGAAATCCAGATATGGAGTTGTGGAAGAATATACTCCACTCGTCTGTGCCTTGTAAGCATTGAAGGATAATCCCTGAACCGTAGGAATTTATCTTAGTTAATCTCTTACTGATTATGCTCATTACATATCTGAATACTAAATGTACTACAAACAGTCCTGTTGGATTAGGGTAAATGGAAGAATGCTAGGGTAAGCCAGGGTGGATATCTAAATTATTCTAAAGCGAGAAATTCTCATCACAATAGTAAAGTTTGAATTACAATTGTCAGATGAATATGTCTGAAAAATGTCTGGTTACACTGGTAAAGCACTGAAGAGAAGGGAAGTCTATAAATCATTTTTTGGCAGGGTTACGTTTTGTATGCATGTCTCATTGTTAGAAAGAGACATTATGTCATACTTTGTGGTCTATGTCTGTGTATCACTCCTTGCGCTTTGCAAAGGTTGCAAAATAGGGAGTTGTTGCAATTATGGACACTCGGATTTCGCTGTATGGCTAATTTATGTGAGGGTTTGAGTCAAATTAGCAGCAAACAATTGCATTCATTTGCATGTAAATGAGAAAAAGGGATTTCTCTTTGAAGCTAGGTGTTGAATATGTCTGAATGTCATGAAGAATTATGTAGAGATAGTTATATATATAAATTAAAGTTTCTTAGTTAACGAGAACACATTAGTATATCTATATACAAAACCTTTCCTGCTGCCTAACCCTGTAACCAATACAAAATTGTTGCCAAACATCTACCTCTGTTGATATTTCAGATGTCATTTCTTAGGAAAAGATGTCATCCTTAGGAAAACCAAGATTAAGGTACCATGGATGTAGTGTACATGTGACACCTTAATGATAGTCATATGGGCATATAACTAGTTCAAACTATATGCACTAAAATAGGGCACTCTATTGAAGGATACTTGATAATAGATGGTGTGACCTTGTCTGTGATTGACAATATAGGTGTCCTTGGGGAGGATCCGGTATTCGCTTCCATTCAAACCAATACAAAAGCCAGAAAAATCATTAGTACCACGCCAAAGGCACTAGAGGGATATCACAGGATGCCATAATTGTATTTGTATCCTGAAAGTTAGTTCAAGAAAGCTTTGATTCAAAATTTCCAAAAATTGAGACAGGTAGGACAATGATTGGCATTCACGTCCAGCTGAATCTTGTGACCTTTTCATTATGAATGAAAACGCAAGACTTTAAATCTTTCAAATCTTGCTGACCACTCATCTTCCTTAAACCAGGATTTAGGGATGCCAGAAGAAAGGCACTTAGACTAAGTGTATGAATCGGAGAAGCTAACCAAGGCTGTTTTTATCTTGATCACAGCAGAGTTCAGATGTCAGACATTTCTGGCCACCTTGCCAAGATAAATAAACCCAGAAGTCCTCCTTCCATACAGCGTGTAAATAACAGTGTTATAGTGATACCAGCTGATATAGGACTTCAGACTCTTGAATTTCATGCCTTGGACAGTTTTTTTTACATTTTTCCTAGTCTTTCTGGTTGCTTATCCCTGGTACTATATCCCGAACAATCAGTTAAAACAAGCTTCTTGATTAGTTTAGCCCGAGGACCAATAAGCCGCTTGTCTTGACATATTGCAGAGATTATGTAAGTAATCCCCTTCAGATGGCTGTTCCATTTGGAGCACTAATGCCGAACACTGGTACTGAAGGATCAGTTACATGTTCAAGTGCGGGCCAGATGTTTAGGTCCAGGACTTGACCCGTACTTGAACTACAGTCCTGGCCTGTACCTGAACCAGCCCCTGGAAGAGGGATGAAACAGTCTTACAGTGATTGCATTTGGCTGTTTTTACCTTTGATTAGTTTCGCATGCTTCCGGACCTCATTTTTGGCACGACAAAGGATCAGTGGGTCAAACTGGAGGTGTGATGCTTATTCTATAGCGTGGCAATAACTTAAGTTTCAGCTTTAACACCACCACATAACATCAGGATCCTTTAGAATATGCTACAACCGTAGTACAAACAAACATGGTTGCCACATCTGAACCAATCATATTGCAGCATGTTAATCATATTGCCTTGTGCAAAGCTATGGGCATACATGTAGATGTAACTTCTGTGCTTGTGAACGTGGATAGATCAAAATGAAATGATTTCCAAAAGGCCAGTAGCTCCTTCTTTTTGAATTGTTGACCAGTAGACATGATAGAAACAAATAATCCATCTTCACTAATTCCACTCGATTCATCTGCAATTTGGAGGATTTGCTAGAACAACGTAATCATTACACTTCATTGCAAACCCCCCTCCCCAAAGTGGAAAAAAAATCTTGACCTTTGTTCAGTGATCTTATGACCCAGTGTGTTCAATTTTTGAGGTTGAATGCGTCAAACAATATGGCGTCATTTTTTGGATATTTAGTATACGACATCAATGTTGTTGGTTCCTTGTTTCCTTAATATATCATGTTATCCCAGCTATATTTGGAGCTTGGCATCTCTTTTAAATTTACAACCTTCACCCCATTTCAAATATAGAACAACTTTTTCCCATGACCTTGTTGATATCAGTCACTCCATAAATATTAAATATCAAAAATCATGATATTTGTTTCTAATATTATTGATTTAACTATTTAATGATCAGTGTTGCATATTATTATTAGTATCAGTGCCATGTGTTGGTCTTTCTACTCGTGCAAATTGTAATATGAATAGGCATGTTTTACAAGCAGTATTGTTCTAATCAAACAAAGGCAGTCAAATTAGTGTTTAACTCTTGACTATGAATGTAGTGTAACAGTCCTAGTCATTATTAATGACTTAAATATATTTCTTGACTGAGACTAATCGAAGGGATCTACAAGGGGTTTCTAAAGAAACAGGATCCTCACATGACTCCTGACTTTTAGTTTTAGGTCAGGTTTCTAATGCTTATAATCTGGAGCCTGACCAACTGGGGGTCTAGATGGGTTTTCTGGAGAAACTGGATTAAGCTTATCAATGATTAAACTGACTTACTGGACTGGTTTCCCTCCCTACCTCACATCAGCCTCAATATGTGACCTTGATCATTGGCCAAAATTTTGAGATCCATTTTTGGCTCCTGATGCACGAAACTGGTTTCTCTTTTGACCTTAAGTCTAAATGCACGACCGCACGGACGATTGATGCAACATACACAACAGAGGTCATTTTTACATCTGGATACTGGAAATAAGAGAATATTTGCGGAGGTCTGTCTTGCAATGGGCTACTAGGGTTGTTTTAAACATATAACAAGTTGTAAATCATCACTAAATGCATCCCTTTGCCACCTATCGTGAAAATAGGTCCCTGCAAACTTCAATCAATTAATAGTACAAATGTAATATATATACATTTAGAACAAACAGGCCTGTCCACTGCAAATGCAATAACATACACTTTGTCTATGATATGAGACAGTTGCATTTTTTGTTGTAATCTTTGTAACATTTACTGTAATTCTCCTTTATTCCAATGCACGGTGTAACTGGTGACTGATAATTAAAGACTGCTTTCTCTTTCTGTGTTTCAGAATTCCATCAGACACAACCTGTCTCTGCATAGTCGCTTCATCAGGGTTCAGAATGAGGGCACCGGCAAGAGCTCCTGGTGGATGCTCAACCCCGACGCCAAGGGGGGGAAGTCCCCCCGCAGAAGGGCCTCCAGTATGGACACCAACAACTCCAAGTATGAGAAGAAACGCGGCCGTGCCAAGAAGAAAGCGCAGGAGGCGAGGGATGCCGCCGCCGCAGCCAACGCGGGAAGTCCCACCGGAAAGTGGCCCGGGAGTCCGCAGGACTCGAAATCAGAGGGCGGCACTCCAAGCGGTGATGGGAATCTCAGCGTGTCCACGGCCTCCCCGCTGTCTTTCAACATTTCCGACTTCAGGCAGAGGACGAGCTCCAACGCCAGCAGCCTGAGCGGGCGCCTCTCCCCCATCATGGGCCCAGACCTCGACGACGACAACCAAGTGCCACCGATGTCCCCGGGCTGGTCCGACTTCGGCAGCAACAGCAACCTGTCTTATGGGACCTCCGACTTCCTCAACCAGTCCACCGATCAACTCACCCAGTCTCTCCAACAAACCATGAAGCTCAATTCTCCAGACCAGCTCCTTGGGGACAGCGGTCTCAGTGGGATGAGCTCCATGGACAGTGTAGGAAGCCTGGGACTGGGTGGGTTTGATTCCCAGCCAGATCCGTTCATGAGAAGGTGCCACAGTGTGGGGAGCAGGGCGCAGCTGCCCTCCCCCAGAAGGCAAAACACGGGCTACAGCACCCCACCGCCGTCGTTCAAGAGCCCCTTCTCACCACTCCCGGTCCCGCAGCCTGCCCACAGTCCCAACCCGCAGCAAGGCAGTCTTCCCAGCGTCAACGCACCCGGTCCGCAGCAGGACCCGACGCAGTTCAGCCTGCAGCAGCTCTCCGACGTCATGCTGACGCAGACCGATCCCATCCTGACCTCGGGCGACCCCGTCATGTCCTCGGGCGACCCTCTCATCTCCCAGGGCAACATGATGCTCCGTCAAGACCCCATGATGTCGGCCTGCCCCGAGCAGGGCAGCCAGCTCAGCAGCCTTCTGCAGGGCACCGGGATGAGCTACGCCTTCAGACAACAACAACAACAACAACAGCAGTTGCAACAGCAGCAACAACAACAACAAGCACAACAACAACAACCACAGCAGCAGCAGAACTTCAACAACCTCGGCTGTGCCTTAAACCAGATGCTGGGAGGGAACATGGGAGGGATCATGGCTGGACAGTTGGGCGCAGCTCAGCAGCAGCAGCAGCAGACCCTCCCGCAGATCTCTACCTTCGGCCTGATGCACCAGCAGAACCCCACCACCCTGCACCAGCAGGCCATGGCCAACTCCCAGGCCAACCAGCTCCTCTCCATGCACCAGGAGAAGTTCCCCTCCGACCTGGAGCTGGACATGTTCAGCGGCGGCCTGGAGTGTGACATGGACTCCATCATCAATAACGAACTGATGGAAGACGGCGGCCTTGAGTTCAACTTCCAGCAGGACCCCGGCCAGATGGGGTCGTGCGCGCCCACCTCTGCGGGGATGACCCAGTCGATGACCATGTCGCAGACTCAAACCAACGCGGGAAGGTTAGGGTACCGAGAGACTGTGATTTAACCGACTCTCGTAGGGTTAACGTGTTATAAAAAGTCGACTGTGATTCACAGGTAGTAGGTAGATACCCTCCCTGATATTCTATTGGTTGATTTCAAGTTGGGTCAAAAGTCAGAATTGATTCCAATTTTTTTTTGACAAAATGAATAATAAGTTTCATGACCATTGATTGATTTGTAACTTTTTTTTTGGGGGGGGGGTTCTGGTTAAATTTATTGTAGTTATTCCAGATTTTCTGTCAGTCAGGGTTTTTACACTAGTTTTTATGTTAGTCTGTCTTTTAGGCATGGAGGGTAAGCTTTCATGGATGTCTCAATGACCTTTGACCCAAAATGGCATCAGCCAAACCATTAAAAAGGTGCTTGGGTAGTTGTGACTGTAAGATCAGTTGCTGTCAGTGTCTTGTTTTTGTAAACCTGTCACAGAAACAAATGAAATAGTTGAAGACTTTTCCACCTTTTCTATTTTTAACCACCAGAAACTAAAAGGGCAAATGATATTTGTAAAATGTACATGTAATTTGCAAAGTGTCAGATATCATAATAAGTGTCACTCAGAATGCACATGTTTCTAGGCATGAATAAGAAGCTCACCCCTCGTTGTGTCATCTACGGATGTGCAAAAAATGATTAGTGGCTTTAGTATGCAGATCAAGACTTTTGAGATATCAGAGCGGGAGAAGAACGTGTTTCACTATACAGATTAGGAACATATAGATTGTAAAGATTTTCTAGAACGACGTTGTTAGCTTGCTGTGAAAGTAGCTATCAATTTGTGTTGTACTACACGTAGTTCGGACAGTTGTGTCAGTACCCGTATAATCAGTACAGGCAGAAAATGCTCCGCATGAATTCGGTTAGGTTTGCCTCTTTCTTCAGATTCATGCATATGATTGTCTGATGATATTTTGTAGAAAATCATGAAACTGTGGAAAAAATTCCCGAAACATATCTTTCATACTTTGGTCATGGTCAGTCATGGGTGTTCGGTAGGAGCTAGTTGTAGCTGGTTTTAACTGGAATTTTTGACTCTGCCAGTTTGAGTTTCTCTGTTTATGTGGGCTTTTTAGCCCGCCATTTGGTTGCTGCTTCTCGGAGTTGCCGTCCCGTAGAAGGGACGTTAAGCCATTGGTGTTGTGTCAGACCATGTGCACCTTAAAAACTCACCACATTTTGGTAAAAGAAGAGGGGATATCCCATGATATTTTGGCCCAAAGCTATAATCATTTGTTCTGGACTGTGGGGCTCGACTTTTGGCCAGTTAGGCAGTGTGGCTACATACCAACTAAAGCAATGAAATAAGAATGAAAAGGAATGAAAATTTTGGGTGAACCTAGCTACGCAACTGAGACTTTTCCTACTGATCAGTTTTTATTTGTTATGCAAATGACACTTGGGGCAAATGGAAATCAAAGGAAGACATTAGCCCTTATTACGATAATTTTAGCATGATGAAAAATGTTTACAAAATGACAATGGTTTTTGGTTATTATTGGCATAATTGGCAAAATCTTTCAGATATGAAGAGGGCTTTTTTGTGTGTTTTTCTTGGGATTCCTCCACGTTTGTTTTTAAACGGTGCGATTTTGTGCGACCAAGTCTTTCAGCCGTATCTTTGCGAAAACTTTCTCTACATCATAAACAACAAATGTCAACGCTCTGCATGTCGGCAAGTTGGGTTTTTAATGTGTCTTTAAATGTAGCCTTGTGTATCATAGACAGCACTGTAAGCTGTCAACAGACATGTAAGATTTTGAGAGATTTTTGAAGCAGCTGTGGTTTTGAGAGCCAGTGGTCTCAGTTGTTTTCTAGACTTGCCGTTTCCCTTGTCGCGTGTGTTTGGACTTGAGGTATGTCAGAAAGGGGTTTCCAACAGTTTCCACCCACAGTGCGTGCGTTTGTTATTGCGAGGGCGAATCAAAGGCTCGTGAGGAAACGCGATCCCCGCATGTGTAAGCCAGGAATCTGTGATAAACACTCCCTGTGTATCTCAGCCCAAGCAGATGTCAGGTCAGAGGTCGCAGCACTTGCTAGGAGGAAAGATAGCAGCAGATTTGTATCATATCAGGATGCACATGTGTGGAACTTTGGCTTTATTGTGAAAAAAGACGTAGGGGTGCTCCGAATGTATATAGTCCACAATGAAGACTGTTTAAAAGTGTTTTTACACTGTAGTTTGATAAAAATAAAAAATAGGCTTGTATTTGTGTAGGTTTGGATGAAAACCTGATCGAGAAAAATGGTTTGACTGAAGTAAAGTGCTTATTGTTGTGAATCCTGTGGCCCGTTGTTTTACACGTGCCATGCAAATTTGTGTTTGCGTAGGATAGACTGTGTTTTTAGTTTATGGCAAAATGGTGGACAAGTCTGGACGTGACTTGAGCATTCTCATGTCTAGTGAGAATGAACTTTATAGCGCACAGGAAATTGATGTGTTTTTGGTTAGAATGTGGCAAGCTCCTAAATATTTTGGGTGTTTGCTGGTCTTGTCTGGGTTCACACCAATAGGCACCAACTCGTCACAAGTAGTAATACATCAGAACGAAATGTAGTGTAGGATTTTACCATGTATCTAGTCACGATGGCAAATATGAGTACAGAATTGAAAAAAAAGAAGATGGAGCTGAAAAGGATACAAGTCCATCAGATCGAAAATTATGTTGATTTGCAATGTAAATAATGTATAAATATATTTTGTATGAAAGCTTATGATCAAGTTGGATTTTTCTGCAACATTTGACTGTTTGAATCAGTGTGTCCAGTTGTGTAGGTGTTTTGTTTTGTTTTTCTCATGAATAATCTGATTCATATGAAACTGTTTTCCCTACAAAATGTCCACAGCTATACTTAAATTGGTGCACAAATTTCCAAAACGAAAGCACAAGCTGAAAAATTTGAAACCAGATAATGTACCTAAAGGTGTTTTGAAGCACCCCCTACCTCAATGATGAAGAAAATGACATTCAAGGTGCTATCGATCTCTAAGCAAGTGAATTTCAGTTGTATCCCATGCTATTTGTTATTTTGGTTTTGTTTTAAATTGCTTTGTAACATCGGTGTGGGGCATCGGTTTACAAAAAAGAAGAAAAAGCAATGCACAACTTATATGCGATGCAACCATTTCGAAAGTTTTAACATTTATGAGGAAAGAAAAAAATGTGAGGATTCATTGAAGATGGGAAAATAGCTTTTGTATGGTGGGAGTCAATACTGTAGTTCCACTCCTTAACCCTATGGGAACAGTGACTGACACTGACTGCTGTGAGGACTTTTGATTGACAGGTACAGTACTGTACATGAGACAACACTGCTCGATGTTGTGTACACACACACACACACACTCAGCCTCTTTTTATACTTGACGTTTTATCTCCTGAAAGTGGCCAAAATTACAATGGATTGAAAAGTTGATAGTTCTAGGGCAAAAAAAAATGTAAATAGGTCAGATTAAATCTTGGTGCCAGTGCTTATATATCTTTACATGTGTAAATCTCCGGCTACTGTACTAATCAATATTTTTGCATAAAGATTTCATATTTCAGGAGAACACCTTGTAGTAGTCCTTCGATGTGCTATCTCTGGGATGGTGTGACAAAAGTATATTTTTGTTAATTCTTACCAGAATCTTTACAATGGTAGAGAGAGAGAGAGAGAAAGAAAGAAAGAAGGGATGTTGTGATCTCGAAAGTTGTGTCTGGTTATTGAGATGTTAAACAGCACAAAAGTGTTTCATAAAAAGAGTCGCAGATATAACATACAACTGCAATTTGTGCCACAATTAACGTACCTTTAATTAAACAAGATGATATAGTTAATTAATACATTACCTTGACGCATGTTTTCTCCTTTTTATGTAGAGTATCCTGTTTTAGTTACCTAAGATAAAAAGAGTTGAATTTTTGTATTGTTGTAATTCTGCTGAACAAGCTTTGATAAGTTTTTGGTTGTAATAAGAGTAGTTGTTAGGAGAAAGTGGAAAACCTTGTACATAAGTGCTTTCTTACTTGATATGTGTAATTTACCTCCACATGTGGAGAGGCAGACTGACTGGATGTGTCATTCATGAATATTCATCTATTAAAGACATGAACATGTCACTCTGCTGGCCTTCTTAATTGTCTGTCATTGTTTGATTTATCTTCAAGAAGATGTTAGGAAGGAAAATTATTCTTTGTTGTTTCTCAGGTTAACAGGGATGCTTGAAAATGTTATGGTTTTCCATCCCAGTATCTGCTTGGAGACTGCACAGTAAACACCTTGAGAGAGGGAAAAAACACCTTTGAGAGAAAAATATTACCTCTAGGGATTCCGTTATATTGAAGTTTTTATCAATTCAAAATTCAGAACTTATGAAATGGAAGGAAGAAGTAAGATGTTAGTGACTATGAAAAACAACTAAGTTCATTTGTATGGTTGAGTCGAAAGTTCTTTCTTTTGTTTTCACTGGTCATAATCAATGTATATCAAGTTTGAGGGAATTCGACCTACACCTTTTACTAGCACTCGATTTGGAAGGTTAACCAATCAAAAACACAATACAGAACAATTGGACTTGGACGTTTTGAAATTTCTGCTTGTCTGATTTGATACCTGCAGTTAATCCTATTGTTCAGTTACAAAGGGAGGTTTCTGCTTGACGTAGAATGCATTTAAGCTTGGCTATTATGTGGTTAGAAATGGCAAAGGTGACGTCAATGCACTACTGTTCCTACACGTACCTGTATGTTCTCTGATGTGTTCCAGGCATGCTGTCACCATAAATACTGTAAATCTTCAATTCATAGCATTTGCAGTGGATTTATTTTCACAGAGATCCCTCCGCTGCAAAATCATGACACTGCAAATATACAGTATGTTTCCATTTATTGCTAGCCTTCAGAATTGTTTTCAACACACCATTGCATCAAGTTAAACCTGTCTGAGAAAAATTTAAGGGTCCTGTGACATTTGTCATAAACTATGTCAATGTGTTGGACAGTAAATTAAAGGCATTCTTGTGAAAGCTGTCTTGTGGGGAAAAATGTTAAAAATGTTAAAAGTTGGTTCCATTGTCATAGCCTCACTGAAAATTCTGAAAGTCACCAAAGAAAGAGGCAGATACAATGAATGCACCTTTTACAGTTGATAAACAGATGATTGATTACCTATGGAAGATGTCATGACATGTTTTGGTCTCTGGTCATTCTCAAAGTACAGTCAGATAAGGACCTCATACACAAATGACAGTGATGTATGGACATGTGCTGCCATTTGCTTTAATTGTGCCAAATTACCTGATGAATTATTTGTAGAGACCACTTGTCAGCTGAGCATGGTTGACACAGAGCAGACCATTTGGGATTTGCTCTCATGCCACCATGAAAAAGAGAAAGCTTCAGTTGTTTTTATCTTCATACCTTTGATACCTTTCCACTGGTCGTAATTTTCACGCCTGGCCTTTTTTATGAGGCAGGCAAACACAAAGGAGACCTGTCAAAGATTGCTGACTAACAAAGGGACCCACACAGCTCATGACAAGTACGTAACATGGGGGCAATTAGACTGCCACAACAATTGCCAACACCATTACTCATTCAGGAAGCAAAATGGTAAATTGCCACTTTCATTTTCAGCGCTTTAGCCTTAATTGGTCTTAACTAGTGATAGTGTAGAGTATTATTAGTATCATTAATATTTTTTGCAGTTACAAAAGGTTTCCAAGGCTTTAGTAATAAAAGGTTTGGAGCAGTAAATGTGAGAGATTCTACAAATTTACCAGTAGTTTGTTAGAGTTATTAGTTAATTTCTCTGTGTATTAATTGCCTGTTTTTATACCAAATGTTTCTTCTGTTCTTGCAATTATCCCTCTGACATGAATATGCAATAAAACATTATTTAAAGAGATTCTTCAAGAGAAGACTTCTTCAAAGGAATGACACAAGGTCGGGAGCAAATTAAGCAGGAATGTGGTTGGGTAGGGGGTCCTGATTATTCCAAACATGAATGGGGGCTTCAGGGCAAAGAAAACAGGGAAGGTCATGCTATGATGTCACATAATGCCCTATGGGGTCATGTTTCTTTCACAAATTGTTGACATCCCCCCAGGGAGCAATGCTACACATGACTTGCCTTGACCTTTGTGTTCTGTTAAGCATCAGGATGGGGATCTGCTGATAGGCTGTGATATACCAACTGCGTCATTCCCTGCCTTCCTAGTTATTTATTGGTTACTGGATTAGGGAGATGGTTAAAGGTTACTTTTATTATCCTTGCCGGAGAGGGAAAAGAATAATAAAAAACTTTTTGATCGAATCAATCAGTCAATCAAACATTGGCTTATCAACAACTAAAAATGTAGCAGATTCAACCAAACTGCTACACTGATTTATAAACTAAGGCCACACCAATTTAATTTGTTGGTTCTCGGATTCGCCTCTTCATTTTTTTCTGATTTGCAAAAAAAAAAAAAATTTTGTATCAGCTCAAAAATGCTCATATTTTGCCCCCAACAGTTGAGGAAAGTCATTTTCCTCCTAGTTGTTACAGTTTTTCCATCTACCAATGCAGTGGTTTGATTAAAAGTTCAAAATTCATTGTTTGAATACTAACCCAGCCTTTTGTGTTGACTCAATGGCTATTATCGTTGCATTTTGGGCTATGATGGGATGCCTAAACCTGTTTTTATTTTTTATTTTTTTCGCCCTGTCGCTTCATATTTTTTCTGAAAAAATCCGAGAACCAACAAATTAAATTGGTGTGGCCTAAGAGGCATAAATCTAAAGGAGTAAGCATTAGGGAATGCCAGATTTTGAATGAATGAATTTCTCCAGATTCACTTTTGAAGTTTGAGAACAACCACATTTTTGTCAAAAACTTTCTTGAAAAAAAAAAGAACAGGTCAGTTATAAGCTCTCATAGTCATGCAGGTCACATTTTCACTCAGAGGAAAGACATCAGAAAAAGAAGATGAAAATCCAAGAAGCACAGCGGGGAGACCTGGATGCTCAACCAATAAACCTCCAAGTCTTCTCCATCCTACACACCTCACACCTGTCGGAGAGGCTGAAGTGATAACGCCATCCAATTTTCTTCACCAAAGGCGCCGTGCAAGTCTTTCTGATTGAAGGCGAGCGGAAGCATATAAGCAGAAAATTGGAGACTATCCGAAGACATGCCAGGTTACCCAACCCACCAATCAACTGGATTTCACTTCAATCCATCTCTCCACTTTTGTATGCCGGGAACGTCACGACACTGCACAGAATTCTAAGTTGCAACCCAATTTCATTACCACTTGGATACAGACCGATTTTTAATGTTGTTACTTTTAAGATTGATCCCCAATGCCTGCAAATGTTTTCTTTTTTTATGACATAATTCTACCCCAATGAATTGCTTGTCATGGGCAGATAGGAAAATAATGTCAACTAATGGAAGACTTTAATAAGAAAATTGGATTGTGTTGCCAGCAATCAAAGGCTGACAGGATGAATTATCCAGGAACAGTGTGTAGTATGGGCCACTGCATGGGGAATTCAACAATGTTGAAATTGACAGCGTTTGTTAGATGCATGTGTGTTAAAATATGTGTGGGCGGCATCCATGCATACATTTATGAATGTGTGTAAATGCAACGTTATATTTTTTATTGTTATAAAAAGATGGTAAACACAATTTGTGCAAGCAATGAATTCCTCGAAAGACATCCAAAGACATTTCCAAAAATAAAAAAGATGAAATGACATCAATTATAACGAATATTATGATTTTTCATTTGTAATACATGTATATTGATATAAACTGTTATGTGACTTTTATTTGTCTTCATGTATCACTGTACAGTAACGGTAAAGCTTTAACATTCCCAAGTTTTTAGCCAAAGTTTCCTCCAAATCAAAAAACCAACGCCATGTAAAAACCATAAACACATTTAACATGTCACAATGTTTCCTCCCAACATCTGCTTGGAGAAGCCAACATGTTTTGACTACTGCTTCATCACCCCTGCCGAAAGAAATGGCACCTTCCATATTCAAGATGGCTGCCTCCAGGGAAGAAAAGAGACTGTCGATGTGGCTGTGTTTTTCTGGGTTTTTGGTAAGTTTTGAGAATTTAAAGTCAATATGTTTGTTGCAGAAATAAAGAAATATACACATAGATACGCATCATCACAACATATAGCATTGTCAACGTTTTAATTATTTGTTTTGTTTACAATTTATTGTACCACCCGTTGAACACAGCAAAGCTCTTTATTCACAACCACAATGTTTACAATTTAGTTTCAATTTTATAGGAAGTATTGGGTTATAGTATTGGTATGACATTTTTTTTAATACCAGAGCCTGATCTATCATGCTGTTGCCGTTGTCTGCTGGTTTTGGTTTTGCCATTAATGCCCTTGATCATGATAATGATCATTCTGGCATACTCATTTTCACCTGAGCAAAGGGCACAAGGTTGGTGACTTGGCAGTTTTCAAACCCGGGACCTCTTGGTTCTGAACAGAATGCTCTGCCGTTACGTCACACAACCTCACGTACACCACACGTTGCACTCCCAAATGCATTTACATTTTATAGGTGTTTCATATTATTTCACTCCAAGGGAATGTGTGTACATCATACTACATGTGTTTTCGTGTTTGTGTCGCCTATATGGCGACTCATGAATTGTGCATATTTTGCCATCTTATACATTGCCCTCAAGAAGAGAAAGCTTCATTGGCTGAAGTATGTAGGCATTTCCTGTGGGCTGAACAATGATCCATTTTCGTCCCGGTTTCTGGCCTGGGTGTCCCAAGCTTTCCTGTGAGTTTACCCCACAGTTTGGCTGTGTTGGCTGTGTTTAGATCTCCCTATATATTATAGCTAAATATTCCACAATATGACCAACTCTGATGAATACTGTGGAGTGTCAGCCACCATCCTGGACAGACATAAAATAGATATATCTACATACATGATATGGAGAAACATCATAGTTGTCACCTCCCAATTGCAAGAGGATGAACTGAACTTTCCTGAGTGCTCTAGATGTCTTGGCCAGACCTAAGAACCAATATATTGAATTGGTCTGGCCTTTGTTCATGGTAAAAGCCAAACTAATGCCTGCACATGTCCCTCCACTTACAGGTTGTGGTGTCCTGAACAAGGACACAGTAACAGGAGGTATCAATCACTGCCTTATATGGTCAGGCTAGCCTTGAACCTGACCCCACAGTTCACGTTCCCTAACTCCTGACTGTTTATGTTGGCATCACTTACACTTTAACCAGAAGCCAGGGGCTTTATTGGTAGCTTACAGATATAGGACAAAGTTGAAGCATGTTCTAACTTCTATGATTATGAATTAGGCCAAGGGAAAAAATGTTGTGTGTCCTGTTTACAGACCAACCCTAGAAAAAACTGCTGACCCTAGCCATTTTTTATGGATCCCTGCAAGGGACATGATTTTTTTTAGCTGATCGCCCTTTTCTAGCTCCATGATCTGACATCTGAGTGATGAAACATTGTACAATCAGTTTGCCAACATTGAAATTGAAAATGTAAGTATCCTCATACAAGTTTGACTTTGTTAAACTGTGTTGTATAAGTTGGATCACTAGTCGAAGAGATCACCAAAGTCTAAAATAAGAAGATAGAGAAAGAAAAAGACAATCCCTACCTACCGACCCTAATTTTTAGGACTGAAACAGGAAACACCACATTCTTTTTCCTTATTTTATTTTTGAGAGACTTATATAAAAACAATAGTCAATTTGCATTGTCTAATCTTTAAGTTTCATCTTACTTCCAAAATATTTTTTGATTTTTGGTCACGTAAGATCTAGAATCAGCTTAAAAGTTAAATGAAATATTTGGATTTTGGTCCCGTGCAAAACTCTTTCTAATTTCTAAAGCAGCCATCTGTGTGTATTATCAAGACATTCAGACAAGATTATGCAAGACACAGATATGACGTCTACAAACTGGCTAGTTCTATTTCATTTTGACGAGACACATGCAAAGCTTAAGAGGTTGTCTTCCTAACTAGCATGATATTTTAGAAGATGTTATGGATAGCATTAGGCTCCACTGTAACCCGGTAACTCAGTACACTCTCTTGTAATGTAAAGTTGCCTCCAGCAACAGATAGACTGTGAATAGTAACATATTAAGCTGTCATATCTGACGTGAGCGTAGGGAGTTTAGAAATGTTACATTGAAAGGGTGTGCCAGAGTGCAAAGCTTCCATGAAATCATCATCAAAGGGTATTATGGGTCACTGCTGAAACCATTATCTGTGTGACAGCTTTAAGAAATGATTGATAAGGGACCTGGCCTGGTGCTGCTAACCCAGTTCCCAATTACCCGCTCCTCACGTTGTGCCTAGGGGGGTTCTGAGAATTGACATTATCCAGCCTTACAGATGAGACATGGTTATCATACTGTAAATCTGAAAATGTTAACTGCTGTTTTAATCTTTGCCTTATTTGTGGGGACATCTCCAAGTCATGTCAAAGTCATGCTAATAAATGCACTATACAATGCTGCAAAATTATTTCAACTGTAAGCTTAAATTAAAACACTGCGAAATTAATAAAAGGCATCCTTTCCTCTCCTAATTAAGTCTTTTCAAAGATAAGTGGGTTTGTAGTACATAGAGATGGTCTGGCTGTGACAGCAGGGAAATTACAAGGTCTCTAAACTTGATCTTCTGGTAGCTTCCAGTTGTCAAATTAGATTAGTTTGAAAGATTGCATGCATGTGCTTTCAGAGACATTCAATCTAGGCTCTTACAGAACCTCAGAATTCAAGCATATATTCCATACATGCACACTTACATGTAGCTGTACTTCTATCACACTGGCAAAGCAAAATGCAAATTTGTTGGAAATGTATGCAACCAACTGTGGAGTAAAAGAATAGATACACAATGTATTTTTACAGAAGGGTGCCCCCTTTTGCTTACCACTTGAACTGCACTTGAACATATTAAATTTTGTAAAATGGTTTGAATTTTGATGTACTTTTCAGGATTTGTTTGGAGTGAGCATGATCATCCCACTACTGTCCAGACATGCTAAAGACATGGGAGCAACACCAACTCTCATGGGAGCCTTAGGTAAGGTTTTTATGAGTCTATTGCTAAAAAAACGCTAAAAAACTTTTCTATATCTGTCTAATTTAATTCCAATTCAATTGTAATTTCTCAACATTTCAAACAAGTTAATGTTGTCTGTCATGTCATTAATTTGATTAAATACATTAACCTGATGTGTAAAAACATGCAAAGTTTCGTAATTTAAGATTTTTAAGCAGATAAAATGAATAGAAGCTGTTTGATGATAATCAATTCTTTAAATTGTCCTCATGTTGGTATAGTTTCTGTATTTTCTCAAAAAAGGTATATTTTTACTCCACCTGCATAACCCTAATATTTTGAAATGTACTATAATATCTTTATGGCTGTATGTAAAATTTGTTAATATTGCAAGCAGTAACTTTGACATTTAAAAATAATTGAGTTGAGAAAAGGTTTGGGAAATCCCTTATAATGAAGTTATATGTCCTTTTCAACCATGTCTTGTTCCCTATATGATATTGTGCTGTAAAATGTAATTCCTTTCTAGAAATTGTAAGGGAAGAATGCCAAATGGGTACTGAGAGATACTGATTGAATTTACCCAGCACAGTAATTGCACTGACTTACTGAGATGTGTCCCTTGGCGAACGATAATGAAGTCCCAAAGTCACCTGTGCTGCAATGAGATATGTCTTTTATCTAATTTGACAGAGCGATATTTTGATCATACAGAGCTATTCCAAAGTAGTACCTATCAAGTAATTGTAATTATTACCTGCACCAGCAGTGACAGTGATACTCATAAATTTTACGAGGCATAGATCCATAACAGTAGCCTGTTTACCATTCTAGTCTAGCTTTCTTTTGTTGGCTTCCCTGTACAATAGTCTGGCACCTGTTAATAAATGATTGGCATTTGAATGGTTGCCTGTAGCATTAGGAGAGAGTTTTGTCCATAGGAAATATAGGCAAGAGTTCTGATATGAATAGATACAACTATTAGTATTACTGATAAGTAGATAGCAATTTGCACAACTGACTACAATTCAGTACCATGGACAGAGACATATTACATGTAATACTTCTACCTTTGGAAAAAACACTTGTTCTATTGTATAACATGGTTCGTTTCTCCTATTTCCAGCTTCAGTGTACGGTGGAATTCAACTCTTCTCCAGTCCACTCATAGTAAGTGATGGATTGAGCATTCAAGGTTTCTTCAAAAGTTGGATTTGTACAGCATAACACGATTTAGTCTAAAATGGAAATGAAACCTGTTGCATTCAAAAAGGTACATGTTATGAAAAAAGGTATGATTCGAATAGAAAAAAAAGGTTTGATTCGAATAGAAATTGTTCTTACTAATATTACAAAAACATTACATCCATAATTTGGGGAAGGGGGGCAAAGATGGTTTTTACAACAATGTTGTCAGACCCTGTATATTGCTGGTAAATCTAAGAATAGCTTTTTATCTTGTTCTTGTTCTTTTCGTATACTAATTGCCATTTATTTCTTAAATGTTGCAGCCGCCCAAAAAATGTGAGGCTTTGTTTTCAGTGTCTGTGTGAATGCCTGTGTTTTTAAGCCCTGTTTTAACTGTATCAGCCTTTGCAAAATGATGTAGAAGGTTAAAGAGAAGCCTGCTTCTTCCTGACCATTCCACCAATGATGTCCTCTCTTCATGATTTCCTCACCCTTCCATTAAACCCAATCAGCCGTCCCGTACCATCCGCTAACGACAGGCGAGCGCTGCACGCAGAGTGATTTCCCTCGGCCACTCGTGAGCAATCAGACAACAGTTAGCGCACGAAGGCACCTGGCCGCTCTCCAAGGGCCGCGATTAGCGGATCTCGATGAGTTCTTCAAAGATCGATGCTCGTTGCTCCCCTCTGATGACCAGATTACACTTTACACCAGATCTACACTACTGCTAACGTCAGTCTAGTCACCCATGGGGATCAGGCACTGATCATTCTTAATCTCACACTGAGATTAACTAATCTAAAAGCACACTACATTCTAGTCTCCTAATGAGCTCTTTTGATTGGTGGTACTTTTGGTCCAAAGGGAAGCTATCCTTGTATTAAGGCATAGTTAGGATATGAAAGTACATGTACATGTTGAGTTCTGGAGCAAATGATTTTAATCCTATTTTAAAGCATATACTATATAATAATAGTATGTGTATGCATGAAGTGCACATTAGCTTATCAATCTGTAATTTTCCCTGAGAAAAAAAAAACTAACTGAAATACCCTTCAATAATTACTTAGAAACATCTCTTAGTATCACTTAGTAAAGTATTTGGAGAATTATGTACATATATGTTATAGTAACTGGGACTTAATTTCATATTGGGAACTTTTCTAGATATTTCAAGGTTGGGTTGAACAAAATACTACATGTACATGTAGCATTAGCAGAAATTAAACAATGGCAAACATTTTGAGATTTACAGTAGTAATAAGATAGAGTACACATAGAAACAGATTATTAATAGAAACCACTTCTGGATTATTGACTTTCTTAATGACATGTTGTAGTTCCTGTGTACGTACGTTAGCCTTATTAGGTAATCCAAAAGCCTGGTTGGGTAAGTATGATTAATTGCTTCTAGTGCACATTACATACCCAATTACTAACCTGTATTTACGGACCCAGTTGCCTCTCGGAGTGATTAAAATAGTTGAGGCCACACCAATTGGATTTGTTGGCTCTTGATCTTAATCTGGGATTTAGAAAATAAGATAATGCTGATCTGGAAGGTTAGAATGTCAATTGATTTAAATTTGCGATGACTTACTAAGGTTTTGCAGTAGAAGGGGCAATGAGGTGGATTCACAGTATTTTAACCTTTAGCCATTTGGCTACTGAGTCTCTATTGGTTACAGGGCTAGGCAACAGGGAGGAGGTTAACTTTGTAATTAACTTAAACAACTGTAGTAACACATTGCAGGACAGTATAAGCTGTAAAAGTGTGAAGTGAACATAACTGAGGAAACATGAAGCCACCTTTAATATTTCCCAATTCACAGTAGTAGGAAAACAGACTCAAAAACAGAATTTTTACTAATTTAAAATAAAAAGAACGAGAACCATAGAAATAGATAGATTTAGCCTATTAAAAGAGTTTCATGATGATATCCTTCCAAGCTACTTTTATCAGATGTAAGCTGTCTACTTGACTTGACTATTATGAAATGAGGACTTATTCCATTTTAATCTTCCTTAGAAAGCCTTTCCTGTTGGAATTCCTGTCAGCTTAACTTAGACATCAAGGGTTTAACCTTGAGATCAAGTGAGAAGATTAAGATAAGTCTAAGGAGCTTTTCTTGATAATTCGTGGCATTAAGTACTTGAAAGGACTGACCTTTACAAGGTTAGCGCTTTTAGAAGCCCTTTTAAGGATGTGTAGCGATTTTGGGTACCTTAGTTCTTGCGTAACCAAGTTTTGGGGGCATCCAACTTTTGGAGGTAACCAAGTTTTTAGCAACCAAATTTTGTGGGCTTAGCCAGCTTTTGGAGCAACTCGAGGTTTTTGACACAATCAGGTTTGTATGCATCTATTATGTTTACCGAAGGAAAATATATTGTTTTTGCTCTGTTTCCTCTTCTTCTTCCGTTCCAAACACTAGTCTCTGACCTGGTGAATGACCAGACTGTCTGTCACCATGGTAACTAGTTTTGGTTTACTTACATCATGTTGCAATTTTATAGTAGGAGGGATTTAGACTCCTGTCACCATATATGTGAATGTATTTGAGTAAGAATTAACAGAGCAGACCATATGCGAAGGTAAACATTACGCATTTGCTTTGCAAATGTAACCTTTCTAGTTTCAATTGCATTATTACGAATTCCAAAAAATAGAATAGTATAAATAATAATAAATGAATTTGCAGTGACTGTTTGACTGTTGTATTGACCCCCTGCCCACAGTAGTTAACAGATACCCGATGGTGTTGGATATGTCAAGGACATGCTTTGTTATCAGGCTCATCGCCTATTGATTCTCAAGACCCCGTGAAAAATTTGCCGTTGATCCATAGCTGTGGGCGTTATCTCTACACTATATAGATGTCAAACTAGATTGACGTATTTCGTGGCCACTGGCCTTGAAGATAGGAGCAGCGGGAGATCAACTGGATTTCAGGTAATTGAATTTAGGACGTCATTTGCATAGTTCTGGTGGGCTGTACCATCATATTCAGCAAGGTGGGTGGAAATGCTTCAAAATTCTTGAAATATTTTGTTGGCTGTAACAAAAAAAAAAGCATACCGGTACTACCTAGACATTGAACGTCCATATTACATACTTATAATATAATGTTAAATTACACTGTTAGTGTATTTCTGATAAAATCATTATACAACATGTACCTCAAACCTTGATTTGCCTTGGAAGAATTGTGCCTATCTCACAAAAGTCGGTATTTGAAGACTTGCATTGGATTGGATAGTACAAACAGGATTCTGAACCCATCTACTTGCCTGCACTCTACTCATCTTACTTCTTAGCCATGATAATATTTCCTGCTTTGAATATTCTCTCACGTTCTCTCAACTCTGCACCAATAATAGCTTTCCTGCTGTTGACTTCTGGACTTCTCACTGATATTTCTAAGAGATGAACTCAACGACCCTGACATGTACACTCCTGGGTTTGCTTAGTTTCTTCATCTCTTTGCCAGCGTTTTGCGTCACAAGGTGCCAAGTCTACCGTCTTTATCCCCACATAATGGCTTTCTGCTCGGTGCATGGATAAGTTGCTGACCATTTCCATTCTGTGAATAGAGTGCTTCTGGCACTTTAAGGTCGTTGGAGATCTGAGAGAAAGAAGTGGCCGTAATGATGCTGATGTGCTGTCGTTTCTCGTCAAAGAGCAAAAGAGCATGGACTCTAGATGAACAGAACAAAAAGCAGGTCAGCTACATTAGGGCAGCATACTAGCTGTCACTCAACAGGGAAGGGGTCAGGTAACTCCACCACACTTTTGACCAATCACTGATGTTTGCCTGTTTGTTCAACATAACTGGTTAACTGACTTTTGTCTAGTTTTGTACAGACAAGCTGTGGACTGTGTGGTTTGATCCACTCACACCTGGATGAACCCCTAGACAAATTTAGAGTTGTACGCTTACGGTTTATACAAACATAGCTTGGAAGTTCAAAACTTGACTGACCAATGAAATTATCATCATTAAGCCCAAGGGCATACCATTTTCTAGCAGGGGGCAATTCGTAGCAATGTTCCATAAGAGCTCTGCAGATGTAACACGTTGACAATACTGTTTGGGCAAGTAATAAATTTTGTAACCTCTGGGATGGTGGAAGGTAGTAGGCCGGGAATAAACATGTACATTACAGCGTAGCCAATCTGTCTGGTTTCTGTGGATAGTGGAGACATAACTGCCCTCTGCCAGACGTATTAGTGTTAAGAGTCTTGGTGTGTGAATGTGCTCAGAATAAGCATCCCACCACACAATATTCCTTTGCTCTCCATGCGCTCTGCAAAGTCACCCACTTCTGTTTTGAGATATGAACACATTACTGTATCTTTCTGTGATTCTTGAAAGAATGAATTTCATACAAATTTAACAAAAAAACTAGGAAGGTAACATTTGCAAAGCCAATGCATTGATGTTTACCTTCGAATATCGTCTGCTCTGTTAATTCTTACTCAAACACATTCATATATATGGTCAGACAGGAGTCTAAATCCCTCCTACTATGAAATTGCAACATGATGTAACCCAACACCAGTTACCATGGTAACAGACAGTCTGGTCCAGGTCATTTAGGTCATTGTTTGGGGAAGAAGAAGAGGAGGAAACTGCAAAAAACAAAATGTGTTTTCCTTCGGTAAACATAATCAGAGAAAATATATTGGGGGTTTGCTGCAGTATACATTATCTACAATGTATCAGTTTGTAAGGTCTGCTTGAGTGGAATATTACATAAAAATGACGCCCCCTCCTCTCCCCTCTAATTATATTACTTCTACCGACCCAAGCAGAAAAAAAATTGCTCAGTCGTAAAACATTTCTCAATGATAGCTGTAATCATAACCATGGTCCATCAACAGATGAATCCCACATGTGAAACATCAGCCAACTGTAGAGTCTTCATGTCATGATAAATCTTTTGATTGCTGGTTTCTCAGACTCAAAACAACTTTTATGGTTCAATTTATGTGGTATTTTACTGTCCCTGTCTAGACATCACTCTTATAAGGAAAAAGTATGATCTGATACTGAATGTATGCAGTTAATTGTTATGATTTATTTACTTGTGTACATGTATATGTGGACCATGTAATACATAGAAAGCTGCTAGAGGGCTCAAAATCTCATCTTCAACAAGTAAAATCCTATCTTATATACCAAATTAAAAATCCATCCATAGCTTCTTGAGTTATGCCTAAGCTGGAAACAAAGCACACAAAAAATCAAATGCAACCTAAAACATAACCTTGACAAAAGAAAAGTGCACTACAAGGATTTTCAATTTATTTTGACCTATACTATACCTTGTAGTAAGAAATATATGCTTTGTAGTTGTTGATTTGTATAATGCATATTACTGAAATGTGAAATTATGAAAAAAATGTCAGTAATTGTTCTGTTTTATAGCTGTCTTTGATATAAAATCATTCAATTTAAAACAGTAAAGAAATCTCAAAATCACCTTTCAGCTAAATTCCATATCCTTGATTGAGACAAATTTTGACATTCTGTCATTTCCAATTTGCTGCTCATCTACTTTGATAGTGATGTGTTAGAATGTGTACACTGTTTGAATCTTTGATCACCCCATAAGTCATTAATTAGTAGTAACAACCGAGTCATCAGCCAGCCATGTGATCAGTGCGTCACTTAGGTTCATCATAAACCCGCATGTTACACGTCAGAATATATCAATTTGAGTTACTGTCAGCTGTTATATAAACCATTCTACTGGGACCCTAAGACTGTCACATTAAAAAAAAACCTTGACTTAAAGATATCTATATTATTAACATGTAAATGCAGTACACACACAGATAAAATCCTCTTCCAACAGATAGACATGTATTTGATTTGATTTTATTGAAATTGTAACAATACACTAGATGTGGGACAAAGGCAGCTGTTGCTGGTGTTGTGTTTAACTCATAGAAAGAAATACAGGATGGACAATACTCATTTTCAATTGAGTTTAAGTGAGGAAAGTTTTGTAAAGTGCCTTTCCCTAGGGCACAAGATTGGTGGCATGTCAGGACTCAAACCCGGGATCTGTTAGTTCTGAGTCGACCACCGTAGCACCACACTACCCCACCATGTAGACATGGCTTGTAGAAGTTAAAACTATAGAAAAAGAAATTGTAAAACTAAAAAAAATGTTTTTGTTACTTATGAACTTTGAAGCAATACTTTGCCCCTCTTTGTAATCTCCAGCATGTACTAATTGAACTCTTATTGCAGTGAAAATTGCGAGTGAACAGTTCTACACCCACCCACACACACACAGAAACTATCAAACTCGAGTGGACTTACGAACAAGCGAAATGAAGTTACAAGAAAAATTACTTCCGCCACAGGCAGCAATTTCCTCTGAAGGGAAGTTCATTTATTGAAATACGATGTGCAGAAACCAGCGGAAGTGTACTGAAGTGTCCGGTGGAGGGGGGAAGACTCCGACTAATTGGAACCAATTTTTTTTTACAGTACGCACCTGCACATACACCAATTAAGGATTTATGATAGAAAAGTTCAGCATGGTTCAGCAACCCTGAATTTTAGAATTTTTCTTCTTTGGTGGCGTGGACTCTGGTGTATTTTTCACTTTGAAAATGGAAAAAATGTACTGATGCCTTGAGAGAAAGTGTTGTTAATTTCTGTATTTTGCATTTTTAATTTTTTGTTTTCATCTCCCTTGGATTTTAAAATTTTTCTTGGACTTAAGTGTATTTTCGACTTTGAAAATGGAAGAAAATGTACTGGTGCCTTGAGAGAAAGTCTAGTTAATGTCTGTATTTTGTATTTTTTTAACACGAAATTCCTATAACCAAGGCTTTGAAAAGACAGGTGTTCTTTTGTAAGGCGATGCATAAGAATCAGAATTTTTTATTTGAAGAACTCAGCACTTCAAAATGAAATACAATGTAGTATGCCTTTCAAACTGTGGAGTACATGAAAATGAATAGCGAATTCAGAATTTAGTTGACAGTTCTCATTAGTATGCCTCAGCCATATGTGCTGCCATTTGTCTTGTATTGTGAGTGCTGTCACTTAGAATGAGTTTGCTGGATCTATTTTTGTTTCTAATCAGAATTCCATTTGTACAGCACAAGTAGTTGACTTGTAGTAGTTACCGGGAAGTAGTAGTGATTGCTTTATTTAAGAAAAAAAATTATAATGGAACAAGTCAGCCTTTCAGCAAAAACTGATGTGCACTGACATTTATGAAATGAGCATTTTTTAACTTTTTAATGTTGTATCTATTAAAATTTTTTTTATCATAATCATATAACCAGCCACTACTGCCACTATACCAAATATAGATACAGAATGCAGAGAAGGACTTTGTGTGAATAATGTTTTCCATGTGTACCTACATATGCACACATTCCATAACCCTTACGATAATTGTTTAATGCTATTCTTGGTAGCAGCACCACCTGTTGCTACTTAGTAAAAGACTAAGTATAGCGTTGTTCAAAGAGTTGATTGGTGGTTATGTAAGTACATGTATTTCCTGGCCTGTTTATGTTTATATACCACAGAGTTAGACTATTATGTCAATTTTCAATATGGAACATGTCATTTTTGCTTAAAATTTGAAAAAAATTGCTCCAAACACAACCTGGAAATGAAGTTCAAAATGCATTAACCAGGACACCATTTCTTCTAGTTAAAGTACATGCTTGTACCTGCATACTTAAGTATGCCATGGTATATGTCATGTTTCTGACATTTTATATTGGTGTAGGATGAAAATGCTTATATATCTGAGACCTGTTGCACACATATTTTTTAGACATTTCCTTGTCCTTGAGACAGATCTAAAAGGTCTTCATGTCCGTAACAGGATTAGTCTGAGTAGCTGGGAGGAAGTAGTGACCTTTAGAAAATGTCAACCATGTTTAAGGTGAGAGTATCTCCAGACAAAAACTCTCAATAGTACTGGACATAAATATTATATCATCTAGCTTGGAGAAATTTCTGTGATATGATGATGGGATTTTAAAAAGAATTACGTGGACAATTCAGGAACTTGTTGCCATCTTTATTATTTTTTTTAAATTTCTAGTGCCAAACAACTGATGGTTTTTCAGTACTACGGACAAGGAAAATATTCAACTAGTTAGGCAACATTTCCTATACCCTATTTTATTTGTATTCATCATTTCCTAGATTTCAAAAATAAAGAATCAAAACAAGATTGTGAAGGATAGGGCCTCAAGAAATGCACACAACATATATTTAGTATTTGGTAAAAAATTGTGTTGGATAATGTCATTTGGACTAACATACCCCAGAAATATAGAAGAAGTGTTGTGGCAGTATGGCACAATGTTACCTAACTGTACAATCAGTGAGCCAGCTTTCTTAACTTGCCTAACTCATAGTCATAGTAAGTGTCCTAACATTGATGTGTGTTTTACCCAGGGTAGCTGGGGTGATGTGTGGGGAAAACGACCCATGTTGTTGCTGTGCCTCCTACTGACAACCATCAGCTACACCCTGCTGGGGCTGGCACCCACCCTCGCACTGGCCATACCAGTCAGGATCCTTGCAGGTACAGTGTCATACACGTGCAGTTCCTTCAATCACTGCTAGGTGGCAGTATGCTACTGTCTGCTCAATGCTCCCCCAATTGGATACTGATACGTCTTTGTGAAATGTGTTCAGTACAACCAAGGACATTATACACAGATGGGTATGTGATACACTGTGTATGATGTCCTTGGTACAACTTTGTTTTTATCAAGACTCTGTCTTTTTGTTTTCTTCTAGGTATCTTCAAACACAGCCAGACGTTATCCAAGGCATACTTGGCAGACATCGTCCCCAAAGCGGAACATTCAGAAGTGTTTGGAAGATTCAGTGCCTTCTCCAGTATGGGGTTTATAGTAGGGCCTGTGGTTGGGGGACATCTGATGGTGACAGAGGGAGGATTTCTGCTGGTCTGTCTGGTGGGTTCGGCTGTGTTCTTCATCAATCTGTGTAAGTTTCCACATTTCTTGTTCCTGAAAAAATATGTGATAATGACAGTATGGGAAGGTGTAGACAAAAACATTGATAAATTGATGAATAACTCAATAGATATTTAAATGTATTTCTGCAAACTTCAAGTTGTTGGATAAATCATTTATCTATCATGTTTTTTGCTTGATAGATGAAAGATAATAGAAAAATAATAAACAAAGATTTTGTCTCTTATTGTCCAGGTATTGTGTGGTATGTTCTTCCGCACGTCAACCCAGAAAAGAAAAATGACAACCACAGAAAGAATCCAGCTGCAAGCTTTGACGTTCTAGCTTTCTTCTCTTCCCTGAAGAAAGCCCTGTTCTCTGACATGTGGGATCTGTTCCTGGTCAAATTCCTCCTGACATTCTCTGTTCTTCTCTATCGCACCAACTTGGGGCTCGTTCTCGAACAACGCTTCGATATCACGCCAAAAGAGGTTGGCTACCTCATATCCTACAGCGGGATTGTCGGCACCGTGAGCGGCTTCGGCGCCGGAAAGGTCGCGGAATTTTACCGCAATGACACAACGGTGATGATCCATTTCACCGTTCTGTTGGTGGCGGCCATCCTGGGGATGACTTTTACGCCGTACATCTGGCTCTACATCGTCTGCCAAACCGCCATGTCGTTCTGTAACGCTAACCTGAGGGTCGCGTCGACAAACATCACGATAGAGCGAGGGCGGAACAAAGAGACGGGGGTGCTGATGGGACTGAACCAATCGGTGATCTCGATGGGGAGGATCGGGGCCCCGTTGTTGGGTGGACTAGTCCAGGAGGTACACCTGACAGGAGCAGGGGTGGTGGGGGCAGGGTTCGCTCTGCTGGCTGGTGGGATCATGGTGGTTATTCCACCTGAAGGGTCTGATAGCCAGACAGTAGGGAAAGAGAAGAAAGAGCTGTAGTTTACAGAATGGCCATGGTTTAACTGGATCACATTTTTTGTGCAGAATTCTATGACTTCTTTGCTTACAGTTATCAATACATGTTGTGTAGGAAGTATAGATTTTTTAATAGCTTTTTTGTGTAACTATAATGTTGTTATCATAATGGTACTGTGTTTTTATGGTATAAAAAGCATTTTACTGGTGCTACATTGCAATTGACTTGGAATTTAAGGTTAAAAATTTGCTTCCGCTGGCTAGATCCACTATGTTTCAACATAGAAGGAAAATGATTTTGCAATGACTGATGTGTGGCTGTGCAATAAGAATACCCAATCAGAGTTCCAAAAGGCTAATGACATAAGGAAAAGGGAAAGATGATTGGTCAACAATTGGTCAGTACATATCAGGGGATTTCCTCAATTGGGAATGTTCAGAATGTATTTCAGAGAACACTATATGCAAAGAAAAAAGTTTTGTATATTCTTGCTAAGTAGAATCACAAAATGTGGACCAAACTGCAATTTGCTGCTTTTTTAAGACATTGTTACATAGAATTTTGACATGAAAGAAATCTTTATTGTAATTTTGCTTAAAATTACACTCTTTTAAATTCATATTTTGATGACTATCATAAAAGAAAAGCTGTGAATGAAGAATAGATGTGAACAGAAATTTATACTGTTAAAAATACTGTTTTATTTCTCACGTTTTGATATTGTCCTGCTATTTTGCTTTCTTTTAAAAGAGGGTGTATGTGCAATAGATAAATGTGCTTCAGAAAATAGGTTAATAAGGAGAGGCTATGGTGTCACTATGGTGATGGAATGTTACAGATGTATAAGAGAGAGAGAGAGAGAGAGTACAAATAAACTTATGCTTTGAATACTACATAGGTGTGAAATCTTCAATTTCATTATCTGTTTTTGTGATACAGGAACGTTGTCTTAAATTCTGACAAAATCGTTTGTTGTCCGAACTTAAGGTGATAGAGTTATCAGGGTACCGGTATTTGATTAAGATAGATTAAACTGCCTCTGTGACACTTGTGTATAAAACATTACATCTTTATTGTTAATCTGTCAAGAAGTCGATTGCCAATCAAGTAGATACATGGCAAAAGTCTATATGAATAAGACAGAATCCTTTCATAAGTTCAAATCACTTGGTCACCAAAACGCAAGTGATTTGACAGTGAAGTCTTGTTCGATTTAGACCAGTTTTGTTCTTTTGCCATAAAATGACAATGAGTAACTTGCCTTTCTTCAAATGTTGTGAACTTTCGTCGTAAACTTTACAATAGCTGCTCGCGTCTTCATTCGTCCGAATCTTAAAGCTTGTGGTCGAAGAGTCCGACTCATATAGCAAGCCTGACTCATTAGTACGGTCGTTTCAACAAGAGTGTAAAACAAACACAACTCAAGCTCGACTAAGCTTCTTTTCACACACACTTACTCAAGAGCCCCGATCCAATTTGTACAGGAAGGCGTTTGAATACCGTGACGTCAGGAGTTTTTTTTTCTTCTTAATCCGTGGTTGGGTCTACCCGGTACCCACGACATGCTCAAAAGTCGAGGTCGGCGACGACAACTGGAAACGCCGTGCAAGTGGCGGCCATGGTGGCAGAGTCACCCGACTAGATTCGCGATTCAGAGAGCTGCGCTGCGATTTCCTCCGGCAACAACCATGAGTACCATGAGACTGACGCGACCTAAGAGAGAGGACGGATCTACAGGGTCCCGGAGCATGCCTGCCTCGCCGAGGCTTCACTACAAGACGTACCCTGATCTCGGGAGTCTGAACGACCTGAACCAGCCGTGCTCGCCGGCCAACAGCGTCGGCAGTATACCTGAGCTGCCGCCGCTGCCTAAAAAGCCATTCCCGCCGATGGCCTCATCGTACGCCCCGTCGAAGCGAGCCGACAGGAAGAAGTTACCGTACGTAGCCGGATCCTACCCGGTGATCAACATCGAAGACTTTGCCGTCGGGAGCCTACCAAAGACTGTCAAGACGAAGAAGGCTCCTACAGGCGTCGTTAAACAAACCAAGACAGCAACATCAAGGACAGAATTCGGACACTCTCTTGTGATCGACTTAAACGCGGCCATGAACGGCTGCAGGGACCCGCGATCGGAAAGGCGCTCGTCGTACGAAGATCGCACGACAACGGGACGATCATCTTCAAGACTAACTTCTCCCAGCATGGCTCACAGTCTCTCCTGGTCGGGAAGTGACTTAAAGAACAAACTGAGACAGTCCAAGTTCAAGACATCTCTCCTACAGAGTCCCAATGTTTCGGGAGAAACTTTTGGATCGTTGAGTCAGACCAGTTCCCCCACAATCAGCACCATCTCTCTAGTGGACAGGTGTACCAACAAGAGAAACAATAGCGATCCTGAACAGGGGACCACTACAGAAGAGAGCCAGGCGCACAGGAACAAGAACAGGGAGCCAGACGGGCCTCCTCAACAAATAGAGTCCTCGTCTCAACCTGAAGATGTAGTGGAGGAACTCGAAGAAAAACAGAACATCGAGAAATGCCTGAAGTGGTTGAAAGACGTTGCAATCGCGAAGGAGCACACGTCGTCAAAAGAAATGACACCCCCTCCCCATCTTCTTGGGTGAGAGGACCTTTAATACATGCCAAGCTGCATGTGCACCAGATGTATGGACTTTGGATTTGCGTGAAGATTTTTTCAAGTCTGGAAAACGTGCTGTCGTCGCTCTCAAAGTCGTTTTTAAGTATCCAAAGTTCGAGTGAACGTTTGCTCAAACGTCACCCAATGACGCATTGATCTGTGTGCACGGCAAATACAAACTAATATCCGTCCGTGTAAAAATGGAAAGGACCGGTGAGTTTATAGATTAAGAAACAATGAATATGTCATCGGGTAGGATTTTTAGCGTGCCGATACTACAAAAAGGACTGAAGTGGATTGTGCATGAGTAAGCTTAGAGTCCACAGGATGTAGCTCACCACGCACGTATTCGCCCACTTCCTCTGAACGGTGCAACCAAAGGAGAGAAAGAATGACAAGGTCCTCTTGAAGAGATACTCGTGGACTCATGTACAAAAGGAACACTTGCGAAGTAGGCATAGTCAGAATGGCAGGGATTGAAACCAGTGGTAAAGCTTGGGAATCAAGCATGGGTAAACCGTCAACAACTCTTGTTCCTGCATCCAAAAGTTACTTAGGGAGTATAACTATAAGCACAGGATTAATACTAGAAGTTTTTACGATGCGAAATAACATAACATCAGATTTTCTTCTCCCTTTATTTATAGATCTATTTTTACACGCATTTTAGATATGTAATTAAGTTAAAATAATTAAACACATTTATTGGTGATTAAGTAACAAGCTGTAAAATGTACTCGTTCAAAACGTTATTTCTATGTCATTTTTTATTCACCTGAATATTCACCTGAATCCAGGCCATTAGGTACCCTTACTGGGTAATGAGGCCGTCTTCGTGGTGTAGACAGTTTGAATTGAATTTGTGATGTTGAATTGTATAGTTTGTATGGATTCTTTCTCAGAATTGAGCTTTAAATAAATGGAAAGTGAAAACATGAGTATGCCCATGATACACTTCTACAGAGAAAGTTTATCCACTTCTGACTAGACAGGCTTTTGTTTCCAATGGCTTTTTGTAAAAGTCTTGACGTAAATCGTTCTACTTGTTGAGCAGATTGTTGGTTCGGTTCCTCTCTTCCTGACGTCACAAGTCCCCTTGTTTGACAATCAACCTTCTCCTCTTTGTACGTTTATAAAAAAAACACAAGGGTATATACTTAAAGATTTATATGTATCGAGGATTGCCAAATAGGTGAAAATGAGGGAAAACGCTCTTTGGCACAGAAGACACCAACATTCAGTTTTCAAACCTCGATAACGAGTTATGTAATTGATATCACTGGGATTATAACACTCATCGGGAACGTTAACGCTATAGTGATCCACATCGAGAGACTATGAACAGGGTTGATTCATTTTGTCAAGCGTTTTTACAGTTAAGCTATTTCTTATTATTTACGATTAATCTTCATGAAGTCATTCTTGTATGAACGTTGTGTGATGCTATTTGTATAAATCGAGTTGGCCTGGGTGTGTATGAATAGCTGTAACTACCTTCGTCAAGAAGGCTATATTTTCAGGGTTGTATCTGTGTGTGTAAACAGCATAGCTTTGAGGTAAGCTGTGAATGTATCTTTCTGATACTTAGCTGTTGGTAGATGTTGGCAAAATGATTATGGGCCTCCTAGCGGCTCTCTTTGGTAGTACAAAACTTTCGTTTTTATTCTCTTTTTTTTTAAATTTCAAAATGATGATCTTTGTGATCACTTCACACACATGCTGTTCCTTTGTGTTCAATCCATTTAGCAACTGTCACTCAAGCGAGGTCAGCTTGGTAGAGCCCACAGTTTGTAACAAAGAATCCTGATCCTTTCGCACCACTCCAAAACTAGCTGAACACACAGGACGATCGTGTTACTTGTCCGAGAAAAGGTTTAAAACAAACAGAATGGTCCCACTCAACCCTGGTGCTTTGGAATCTCAGGTAATCCTGAAATAGAAAAGGAAAAAGTCTAAGAGCAGTGCAAATATTTTGTTGGCCCAGAAAAATCTCTGAATAAATTTGCCACAAAGCTCTGAAAGTCATTTTGCTGAAAGAGAACGTTATTCAACCTTGAAGCTGGACCTGCTTGTTGATTTTCGTCGTACAACTTAGCAACTACGTGTTCTACTGTATCACTGCCAAAATGCTTTCTCTATGCGTACTAGTGACGAAATCCCCCAATCTTCGTACATGGGATGATTGTATTAGGAGGACAAGTGTCCACAAAAGAAGAGTATTCCCCTTTGTTCACAGGTTGACTGTTGTGATCATCCCTTGTTGTGGAGTTGTTCTCTCTATTAAAGGCTTATACAACTCGGGTGTAAAGATCGTCTGATAAACTCGTGTTTGTTTGCTCTGTAAGGATAACGCGTAGAAGAACAAAGATTCGACACTTGTTGAGTTAGCGAAAAGCGTGGCTTTACAACATCAATCGCTAGTCGTCGCTTCTATGGACGGATACTCCATCAAAGGAGTTTTCAAAAATTTTAAAAATTCAAAATCGTTATTTTCTTATCATTACATGGAACATAGACAAAGGATGATGATACACTACCAGGGCATATGAAAGAAGGTTTTCACCGTGAGCTTTTTGCCGTGGTGAGCCTTTTACTTGCCGTGGTTATCTAATGGAAATATAAAAATGATTTGCATTCATGATTTACATATATGGTTACGTTTTTAATTTAAAAGAAATTATTTTAAACACTGAAAAAGTTGAATACATTTAGATTAATATTGTTAGATTAAAATGAAGAAATAAAATCTAAAAGAATACTATACTTAAAACGCCTTATACATACTTTCAGCGGTTATACCTTCCGTTGTTTCTTCAGCAAGGTTCAAGACTAGGATGCCGCTGCAGGCTTCTTCATAGACGTCTGTGTCCATCTCAAGCACCTCTTGTCTTACCGCCAAGCCAGTATTGACGTGTTTACCAGCGAATACAATGTTTCAGGTGTTTACCCCAAATGTATTTTGTTATTTTGTCCATAGTAATTGTCTGGATATTGCACTATATGAATGTGTATGTATATAAAATTTGGGTCACCTCACTGGTCATATATAGACAGACTAATCAAATCTACGCGAGGATTTGAAGACCGGCACCATTGGATGATATGAATGTTGCAAGTGTTTCTTGCATGTGTCAGATGTATGTATGAAAACTTCAGCAACCCACATTGCGGTCAGTGACATGTTTTATATTTAACTGATCAAGTAGAAATATTTACGATTCCTTGATTCAAAGTCATGTTACCTTATTTTTGGGGCAGAAAATCTCCGAGTTAAGCTTTCCAATAATACCAAATGCAAAATAAACATAGGCTGTGCATGTATACGTAGTGTCACAAGTAAAGCTTTAATGGGAAAAGGACTTTCAAGAAATTATAGTTGCAACACCAGACTACACGTGCTTTACAAATTCCCCATGAAATGAAATTTCATAGATTGCAGTGATACAGCGATACAGTTCTCATGTATCTAAACATGGCGACCTTCTCAGAGTATGGGGCATGATATTAGATACTGCAACAGCTCGTTTGCCATCAGAGGCGCCGATACGTTTTCTGCTGTTTAACCAAATTTCAGTAGGTATTGCAATCTCCTATTATCCATTAAATGCTAACACATGTAATAGGTCCTAACTTTGCCATACACAATGCTTGATAAACATGTGCCTTAGCGAAAAGGTTATTGATTGACTAGAAAATTGTAATGGTGCCATTACGAAGGAATCCATGCAGTGTGCTTACGTCTTGCTTTGTAATTAGAAGCTATTAGAGAAGCCCGTGTCAATAGGTTTGAACTCTAAATACTTCTCGGAGGTTTGAAATCTCACATTTCTTATTCCGTGTTGAATACGATCTTCCATGGCCATCCCGGTACCGGTTCGTTGTTTACCTTAGGATGATGTGCGTCGATCATGGTACCTTAAAGTAGGATTAAACAAACAAAAATTCCTCACCAGTAAATGCTTTTCTCTCGCTGTAGTTCTTCTAGTTTTTTTAAAACCTAAAACTTGCATTCAAATCTAGTGAAACGTTGCAGCATTTTCCCACCACAAGATTTCCAGTTTTTTTCAGAAGCAAAGAAGCAATTACAGATTATGCTCCCATGCAATTATGAAGCATTTTAAAACATTTTTTGAAACTATATTTACTGGTAAAATGAGATTTCTCCGTCAGTTAGAGAATCTAATATAGTTTTTCTAAAACCGTCACATACGTTTTCAAGTTTACAAACCTGTTGGCAGGACTTGGCAGATGAACTCCCGCTCCCTGTGACAGACAGTATCGTACCAGAGGTCCCTCCATCCGTACGAGGCGCAGTCTTCCCCCTCTCGGAAGTTGTTGGGTTGATTTATTCCCCACATCTCACTCTTCCTCTCCAGTGCGGTTCCGTCCATCCATTCCCACTTACCTTCCTCCCTCTGATCGTGTAAGCCGAACCAGTAGTCAGCCGAGCCGTACGGATCTTCTGCGTTGATGAGGGAGACGAGGAAGGCGTTGATGCCGGCGTCCCGGGGCATGGCGAGGGTGCCTCCGTCGGCACGGCAGGCGGCAGCCGAGTCGTGGAAATTTTTGCGTGTTTCAAACACCTTGAAGCAGAGTTGACGATACTTGTGGTAGTCGTCAGGGCAGGACGCTGAAAAATAGGGTCCGCATTTCGCGTTCCTAACAGCTGAAGAACTACCATGTTCATAGGATGTGGCGCCCTTGTGCCGTTCATTGAAATGGATGAAACCTGTACTTTAATGCTATGTTATTTCAGCACCTGCTATATGCACCTTCTATGATTCTGTTGTAGAATTGCTTAGCTAAACATCCATTTTAACATGTCACTACTTTCGGAATGATGATTTCTAGTGTTGAGACATTGTTTTGATTTATTTTGAGGCCCCTGAACGATGTAGAGTAAAATAATAATGCATCTTTGAACAAAATGTCTAACACGCTATGCAAGTGGGGTGTGGGGAAGAGCAGGGTGGTCTACGAGTGGGGCGTGGGGAAGAGCAGGGTGGTCTACGAGTGGGGTGTGGGGAAGAGAAGGCTTGTCTACCAGTTGGATGTGGGGAAGAGCAGGGTGGTCTACGAGTGGGGTGTGGGGAAGAGCAGGGTGGTCTACCAGTGGGGTGTGGGTAGAGCAGGGTGGTCTACCAGTGGGGTGTGGGGAAGAGCAGGGTGGTCTACGAGTGGGGTGTGGGGAAGAGCAGGGTGGTCTACCAGTGGGGTGTGGGGAAGGTTCCGGGTCGGAGTTTAAATCTGACCAGAGTCTAAGTAAGTGCGCAGTATATCGCCGGAAACGTGACTTTGTATGGTATGTTTCGGCTGCGATATCCCTGAAATCGTAATATCTGTGTACATATCTTTGTATTTTCTGAAAAGCCTGTTAGTTGTAGCCTTTATAGGTGGCGTAATGTTGGTGGTCCAGCGAAGACTTCCTGGTATTCGTCCGCGCGGATGGTTATGTGGCCTTTTTGCCTGACCGCCAGGATGGTACGTTCTATATGGCGTTGTGGGTGTGTTCGGGCCATCGAAGATAGCGATAAACTTATCGCATCGATTTTAATTAAATTCAAATTTGGAAACATTAGGTTCTGAGCTTCTTCGAGTACTAAGCCGTTACCCTGGGAAAATTCGTTTTTTCCATGCAGCCATGGTTACAAATGACGAAAAAAATGACCCCTTATTTAAAAATGTACTTTGATGTGCCTTATTTACCCCTAAATAAATTGTGCGCAGAAAATATCAATCAAGTGTATTAATAAGCGGCACGGCATCCCTTTCCACCAAAATTGTGAAAAATTCCGACCCGCGTTTAGTACAGAAATGACAGCGCGTCGGGCTGAGGGTGTCAAATTGCTCGAAATACGGAAGGAAACTCCGGTCCGAGACCGGAAGAGAAGGCTTGGTCTACCAGTGGGGTGTGGGGAAGAGCAGGGTGGTCTACGAGTGGGGTGTGGGGAAGAGCAGGGTGGTCTACCAGTGGGGTGTGGGGAAGAGCAGGGTGGTCTACCAGTGGGGTGTGGGGAAGAGCAGAATGGTCTACCAGTGGGGTGTGGGGAAGAGCAGGGTGGTCTTCCAGTGGAGTGTGGGGAAGAGCAGGGTGGTCTTCCAGTGGGGTGTGGGGAAGAGCAGGGTGGTCTACCAGTGGGGTGTGGGGAAGAGCAGGGTGGTCTACTATGAAATCTTACAACCAATTCAGTCTTACGTGGCGGATCAGTTGCAGCTCTCACTGGAGCGTCTGTCGGGTTCTCTTGCTGATTCTTGCCGTTGCCTCCCATGTTGTCAAGTGTCTGGAGCATTTTCTTATTATTTTCCAAGATGTCGGACATCAGAGAGTTGGTCAGTTGGGCCATGCCGGCTGCAAGTTTCTCCAGAGCCATTTCCTGTCGTTCAAGGTTGACTGGCAGGCTTTTTGCTATTTCAATTGCCTGTAAATGTGCAATTTGTTCCATGGTTATGCCAGGAAAATGGCGATACTCGAGGTGTAATGTTGATATAAATGGAATATGAATTTAGAGAGGTCTTCAGTTACAGACTTGTGCTGTTCTAAAAGTCTAAAAGAAAGCACGTTAAAATTCATACATATAACAACTACGTCACACAGAGAGAAAGAGAGAGAGACGCACGCACGCACGCACGCACACACACACACGCGCGCGCGCACGCACACGCACTCTCTACCCCCCCTCTCTCTCATACAGGCAGGCGCACACACAATGTATGTGTTTATGTATGCGAATGTTTTATCCGCAGAGGAGTGTTTTTCCACACACACCTGTTGAAGTTTGTCAGAGACACTTTCAAGATCAGCAATGTTCATCGATGTCTCTGCCCTTTCTTCTAGCTGGCTGACTGACAGTTTTAGCTCAGTCATTGTAACGGCTGTAGAAATACAAGGTATGTACATGTTATATACAAAGGCCTGAGTACATAATCCTGCGTCCAGCATATCTAAGAAACTTCTAGATCCTTTTGAAAAAAAAATATTACAGCACTCACCCAGAAAGATAACAGCCCCCAGCAGACAGCAGTTCAGCACTATGGACAGCACGGAGATGGTCTTCTTCACGGCGCTGGTCCAGACTCGGGACTGACCGGGGTTTCTCATGCCGACCCCTGGGATGTAATTTTTACAAATAGATTAGAAAATGTGGCCTCAAGAAGCATGCAATGGCTTGTTATACTTACTATCGTCTATATAGGCATAGCGTTAAATACTGTCCTTAACATATACATATATGTACAAGTATAAGAAATTGATTTTGGACGTACCTGTCGGGGAATTCTGGCCAGGGCCCTTTCCCGCTGCCAAACGCCTTAATTTGGATTTGGAGACCGCACAGGCCTCCTCGTACCGGTTGCCGGTGTAGTAGACGTTGCAAGCTTCCTTGTAGCAGTTGTTTTCGTCCATCACAGGCAGCTCACGCACGACTTGTTTCTTCCCGGCTAAAACAACAAATCTGAGGTTTCAGACGTCCGGGAAGTATGCAATACTCAGCTTCCTGAATTCCCCCTTTTTTGGTCCACCATATTCTAGCCTGGTATCCAGTCTTATCGTGGTTGGGGCGGGTTTTCCTCGGGGCTGCAGGAGCTCTTTCCCGTCCGCTTCAGCTAGGTTTCCCGGTAGGTATTACACGATGGGAGATTGATTACGCGTGCCATTACTCTTAGCGTAACACTCCTACCGGGCGGCATGTTGTACTGAGCGGGGGGAAACTATTAGATAGTGCCTGCCCCATCCATGATTGACTGGATATCATGCTAAAAATATTCCTGCTGGCTCCCTGACAGATTCAGAGACATTCACGTTCACCGCACGTCCAATTGTTTGACCACCAGTCATTCTGCCGGCCAATCTTACCCGCTCACCCACGTGCTGTCAATCTGCTCTGTCTGGACAGATACACAAACCTCCAGCGTTCCAACACACACAAAATCGGACTTACCCAAATTTTTGACTAACCAACTCCAGCCTTTGTCAAGGAATTGGCAATGAATGACTTCTACCAAAAGAGATTTACTTTCAATGTAATATCTTACCTCCCCCTCTTCTTCTTGGTGCAACGGGTGGCCCCACATTGCCGCTCATACCAGATGAAGCTTTCGAAGATTCCTTCGAAGTTTTGTCCATGGCAGGTGCCCCGCGCTGTGCTTCCACAGTCCACACACACCTTGCTTCTCTACTGGCGATACATAACACTGCTCTACCTTACAAGCTTACCAGACGTTCTTAACTTTTATTCATCATGTTGGGTGATTGTCTGGATTCCAAGCGTTTTGGGGTCGCCAATCTCGTCAAATGCGCGTAGTCAAATCATGCTCGTGTCGGATTTAATGCATTAGTTAACGATAGAAAAGTTTTGATTACCAGCAAGTTTTTTAAATGAAATTTAATCTATGAAACAAGGTATTTTTAGCAGACGTGTGCAGATATCATGAATTAAATGTCTAAGACAAAATGATATTATAGAAATGCACAGCGATAGGGACTAGAAAAAACTGCTCTCCGTGTCGGGGAATCGAACCCCGGTCTCCCGCGTGACAGGCGGGGATACTCACCACTATACTAACACGGACTGACTTGGTGAGACATGGTAATAAAATATCATCATATCATAGGGAAGCTTAAGTGATCAATGATTTTTGTGCATGATTCCATCATTTGAAAGCACCGTAGCTTCTCGCCACTACATGTAGTTCACACCTAGCTTGTTTGTCCTATTAGGGTGAAAACTTTTGCAGTCACGTTAAAACAAATGCGTGAAACTTTTTTTTTCAGTAGAAAATTACACGAATTAATTCAGAAAGTATGTGACCTACATTTCTCATGTATAGTAAACTGATCGCGCAGGTGTCCTATAGGATATCAGATAACTTTACAGTGACATGTATTTTTCAAATATATATAAGCTTGATGGAAATAAAATGTAACATCATATGTCTCCTATTGAGAATATGCAATTTTGTTGTATGTGGTGCATGGCACACATCATTACAATTAATAATTGTCCCAAACATTCCATTCACAACATTTATTTTATACAGAATGATGAAAATAGCACTCTCGTGTATAAAATGTAATTGTCAAGAAATATCTAGTACATGTATATACTAATTCACACAAACATGTACATTTTTTTTTACTTCAGTGACATACTTCTATGTAGTCTGAAGATCGTCTATGACATCATTGCTCAAATTCCTATGTTTTAATAATATGCATAAGAGGTTGATTCTTTACAAAAAACACGATGGCTGGCAAGTGGCAACAAAACCTGGTGCACATTTTGTATCTGAACCGTCTTATTATAGGCGTTCTGTGTGGTGTGCCGTTTATTCTGCCCACTGCACCGGACTTGTTTTTCTGCCAACCCTAATTTGTATGCCACATGATTCAAAGACTATGTGATACATTATCAATACATTTAAGATTCCTAAAATCTATCTTTTCACAAGTACAGAATATTCACTAATCATTAAAAATAGGAAGTGTAATATTACTTACACCAAAATGACATGAACATAACATTACAAAAGTCATATATATACAAATATGTACATGTAGCACCAGTGACTGAATATTCTCTGCCATAACTGATCACAAGAAATTGCATAGTCTTATTTTCTAGTGTTACCCTGTTATACATGATTGTCAAACACATGTATCCAGATGAAGGACCATTATCATTACGATTGCCAGTGGAACTATTCATTGCTGTGAGGAAGCTTTTTATAAATTGTGTGTGATAAAAAGATTCTGTATTCTTGAGAGGTAGAACACCATTATGATGTAAGCTGCCTAATGCCGCCCTCCCCAATACTTAATTATTATATATTATAACACAGTTGTCAACCATGTCTGACGTGGTTAGCTTGATTGTAATGGATTCACCCACATCGTACTCAAACACTTCGCCTCCTGGAAGAAAATAAACATAGTATTACCGATCAGCAAACAAGAAATGATGTCACAATTGCATTTGTACATGGTAACAAAGCCTCAGAGATTTGCTGCTGTGTACAGTTTATTCAAAACTTAGTCAGCTGTTTACAAACAATAGACTGAAATCTGCTACTAGCCCCTTATAATTACATGTACTAAGATATTCTGATGGAACCCAGCCCTTACCTTTACAGCAATTACAGTACTAAGATATTCTGATGGAACCCTTACCTTTACAATAGTTTCCTCTCCCTGCAGCAGACTGTTCATGGTAAGAGGAATGGTGGGTGTTGTTGGTGGTTTAGCAGTGGAGGCACCAGTCTCCAGCTGTCTACTGCAGAGAGAATGGGACATTGAAAATATTCATGAACATGTCTTGAGAGTGTTGTAACAGTTTGGTTGGTCTCTCCATATCAAGACCAGCACAGGTACAAATCAATCAACTAATCAATCAATCAATCAAACAATGAGTCTAACCATCCATAACCATCCATCCTTTCTTCCTTCCTATATCTCTATCATTGCCACTATCTTTCAATCTATCCATCAATCTTTTCACCCATGCATCCCTTATTTCTTCCTATTTTTTCTTCCTCTTTCGTTCTGTTTCCAGTCCCACAGCAGTGATTGGAGGTATTGACAATGCTGTTCATTTCATTGCTGTAAAATTCCAAGGACAAATCAGAGACAGCTGTCCCCCTCACCTGTCCATCCCCAGAGGTGTACTTTCTTCACTCTCCATCTCAGACTCCAGGTCCTCCTCGGAAGACTCCTTGATGGGTGAGAGAAACTTGATGCCGAGGTCGGCAGCCATGAGTTCTGTGTCGATGTTGTCTGGCCACTTCTCTGATGGCCAGGACTGGGGAAGATCAAGTACAACATTGTAGAATTAGGTACATGTACATGTAGATTCTGAAGAAGTGTCAGGAATTAGACTTAGTAAGTACAATGTATTTTGCTTTTTCATGGCCTTCAAGTTTACCCCATTTCCTGTGTCTGTCAATCTTTCCTCCATTCCTGTGCTGTCAACAACAAGTTCACCCCATTTCCTGTGTCTGACCTTTTGACCTGTCATTCTGCCTGTCAATCTTCCCCCACCTACATGCTGTCAACCTACATGTACTCGGACTGGACAAACAGTACTACCGTATCATCTCACTAGGGCTACATCAAATCAGAGGAACTCCATAGGAATGAAAAATGTGCCCATACATAATTCTATACCTTGCAGCAGAATACAGCAGCCATGGCCAAGTGACAGTATCAACCTTGCGCACTGTAGTAATCTACTTGTAGCAATCTATGAACCAGCGTTTTCTTCATAATTATATGGATACCCACCTCCATCACCATGGCGATGTCCTCCTCCTCCTCCTCCTGGTCCTCCTCCTGAGTGGGTACATCTGTCAGGAAGAAGGATTCTGTCTGCATGTCATCTTCTTCATCAAACGTGATGGCCCGAGTCTGAAACAGGTACATGTGATCAATTTCTATTCATAAAATGTGATATCATGACTCCCAAAAAGTATAAAAGATGTAAGACAAGTCTATATTCAATGATCTATTAAAGCCTGCTTAAAAAGTGTAGAAACTTGATTCTGGCCAGCAGTATCGAAAACATATTTTGATAACTAAATGTAAACGTTGAAGTAAAGAATGAAGAAGACAGGCTGATTAAACCCCCCTATAGTTTACCAACTACATGTACAATGTATTTGTCTTACCAGGTCAACAATGGACGGTCCCTCAAAGGTGTTGTCAAATTGTCCATTGATGTCCATCAACCTACAATGAAAGAGTAAGTATAGGTCAGTAAGTTATTAAGTTTTAATTAGTTTTTTTGCATGTAGATTGGCTGCACATAGTTTGCACTCAGTGTATCTGTTTGCTTGCTTGTTTATTTCCACCTGCTAGGTATCTTTGGGGCACTGACAGGAATTTAGATCCAAGGTCCCAGAAAAGGTTATCTATGATTTTGTATTTCATCTGAAGACTGACCAACCTGGAAGCTGATGCAGCGTTGGCCTGAGAATGGTTGTACATCTTCAGGATCTTCCTCTGGAGCTTCTTTCGTTCCCGTTTTCTTCTGTCCAACTGTTCCATAGTGTCCTCCTGTGGAAAAATGGTCACATGAGCACATGTTCATTTGGTTAATCAGTTTAGCAACATATTACGCTATAAACTAGACAGCTGCATTAACTTTTTACTGATTTTTTTTTTATTTACACATTTTTTTATTCTAATGAATCAAAACAACATTGCATACAACTGTTCAATAAGTGATGGTTAAAAGGCTTTTGAGAAAAATGTTAAAATTGTGAGAAAAGGACCACTCACTTTTTCATGATCTGGTTCCTCAAACTGTAGGTCCAGTTGATATGCAGCTAGTGGGGGAAACTCAGTCTAGAGAAGAAAAGAAAACAGGTGAAATATAGAATACACTAGTTGTGAATGTTGTACTGTATCACTATGAATTGAATATGCAGTGGTGTACACAACACAAAAAAACATCCATCTGTCCATCCTACCTTGGGAAACATGCTGTCCAGTTCCATCTCTTCCCTCCCGACTGATGACCTGGAGTATTGTGCCATCTTGTGGGGAGACAGGGAGGTAGACACTGATCTGAGAGCAGCTGGGAACTACAAACAAACAAACAAACAAATTAACTGCAGGTAGCAAACATCAATTGCAAAATGCAGAATGCACGGAACTTTAAGAACAACGTCTGATAATTAAACAATGGACAGTAGTATTTGTATGAAAGTTTAATGATTATCATAATAATCATGATAAGTAACAGTATATAGCAGTTTTAATTAAAATTGGTTACCTTCCTGGCCTGCTCAAATTGTTCTATCGTAGTGATTCCCCGTGTGCTGGGGCGGGAGGGCTCTCTCTGCTCCTGTATCTGTGCCAGTCCTGATGCCAGATGATCTGTTCTATAGTCAGCCTGCAAGAAACACGGAAAGTACTTACTTTCATTGCAACAACTCTTGAATAACTATCTTCTAAAAATAAACACTTGCACTGAAACTACAGTCACTTGGTGGTTTTATTTGGTGGTTATAGCAACTGACAAGGCTTTATCGCACCATATATCATACATCATCAACCCTCTATTATTTATTGAATGGCTAAAAAGTATGACATTATATACCTCATGATGTGAGAGTGTCTGCATGTAGATATCTGCTGATGACAATGACTTCATTGATCTTGTGTCACCCATAGTTACTGAATCTGTAAAAAACACATTCTATTGGTATAAAAAATTATAAATTCAAAACATAAAATACAAAAAATTCTTTTATATGTATTGAACTCCTTTCTTCTCCTACTTTGCAATTAAGTCTCCACAAACTTGAATGTACAGTGTCTTGCTTAGCAAGCCATGAATAAGTGTGCAATGTTTTGCTATAAACAGGAATCAAAATCTTACCCTGTGGTGATCCAAAGACTTCTCTGTATCTCTCAGGCCTGAGGATGTCTTTCCAGTAGGCCTCCAGCTCAGAGTGGGACCCGATTTTACCCTGTTTAACCAGTGTCTCCTGTAGTCCAACCATCTAGAAGAAAAACAACGAAAAGATTACTTTAAAAATGTTATTCAGTACCAGTAACACTATAAACCATTCACAGAGTTATGAGATCTTCAATTTCTTGTTATTCGTGTGAAAAAAATTGTTTTAGAACACTACGATGGCTGAGTTTTTATCTGTAATAGATATAACAAAATGAGAAGATTTACATTTCACCCATTACGTACCTTATAAAACTTGGACTTGGGGATCTTCTGCAGATATGTGTTATCATGAGACAGAACGGACCTGGCCAGACGTTTCTTTACCCGATGGAGCTCCTCTTGCTGAAACACACAATCATTTCTACCTCAGCACTGATGTCCAAAAAGTTGTACTTAGTCTACTAGACGTAAGTATATTGTAAGTGCACATTGTAAAGTAAGGATGTCATACAGTTACAATTATCCATCATTTTGGTGGGCTAAAGATGCATGTGAAGACTTGGTTACTACTTGATATTGCCTCTACATATCTTACAGCTACAATTCGTCTTTACTATGAATTTTTTCATAAATTATTGTGTAGTATCATACTAGGTATGTATTCTGAATGACTGGTAGCCATTATACGCAAACACCTTATACAATAATTATTATGTGTATGCCATGATTATATCTATCAATCTCCAATGCATTTGTCCCTCAGTATACTATAATGTATTCCTGTAAGTCTACCTGGGGGTGCTGCACCTCAGATCTTCTAAACACATTGTTTTTCAAAGTGACAGGTTAATGTAGCATGAGGGAGAAATGTTATCTCTTACCTCTTTCTCCTCCTGTTCCTGTAGCCTCCTGTCATGCTCCTGCTGCCTGGTGCTGATCTGTTCTCTCTGTTTCTTCACTCTGCGCTCCAGTTTGCCCATGTACTCACTGTACAGCTGGTCACGCAGCTTGTACTGCATGTCCACAAGGTGCACATGTCTCTGTGGGTCACAGAAAAGTTCCCATTAAAAAAAGTAACTTAAGGGTTTTGTATGTATGTATGTATGTGGTTTGGGTTGTTGAATAAAATCTAAAGGTTTTGGGTTGGAATCCCTGGCAGGCCCCAATTTTGTGCCCTTGGGAAGTGCAATTCAAATTATTTCCTCATTTGAGTGTAGAGAATGAATACTTGGCTTCAAATAGGGCTATCATAACAGTATTAACGATGATACAGTGTACATGTATCTGTATAGCTGGTATAACTATGGCATCATTTTTGTGTCAAAAATCTTTTCAAAAAAAGGTACCTTAAATTGAGGTAAATAGGTCTGCTATGCTGCCTTCAAAAGGGACGTTTTGAATGCACGACAGGGGCCTTACGTAGGGGCCTTTACCATACCTTGCAAATTCCGTGTCAAAAAATCGTTTTAAAAAAAGGTACCTTGAATAGAAACAACTAGCATGTCACACATGGAAGTCCGTGTCCGTGTGCCCCCTATCAACCAAAGCAAGCCACCCCTAACGTAAGCCTGTCCCCCCTATTTCAAACATGGTTATGTACCACTTGAAAGCAAAGCATACTACCCCTAACGTACCACTTGAAAGCAAAGCATACTATAAGCATACCACCCCTGACGTAAGATGGTTATGTACCATTTGAAACCAACGCAAGACACCCCTAACGTAAGCCTTAGTCCCCACCATTTCAAACATGGTTATGTACCACTTGGCAAGACACACCTAACGTAAGCCTGTCCCCCCCATTTCAAACATGGTTATGTACCACTTGGCAAGACACCCCTAACGTAAGCCTGCCCCCCCATTTCAAACATGGTTATGTACCACTTGGCAAGACACCCCTAACGTACCACTTGAAAGCAAAGCATACTACCCCTAACGTACCACTTGAAAGCAAAGCATACTATTAGCATACCACCCCTGACGTAACATAGTTATGTACCACTTGAAACCAAAGCAAGACACCCCTAACGTAAGATGGTTATGTACCACTTGAAACCAAAGCAAGTCACCCCTAACGTAAGCCTGTCCCCCCTATTTCCAACATGGTTATGTACCACTTGAAAGCAAAGCATACTATAAGCATACACCCCCTGACGTAAGATGGTTATGTACCATTTGAAACCAAAGCAAGACACCCCTAACGTAAGCCTTAGTCCCCACCATTTCAAACATGGTTATGTACCACTTGGCAAGACACCCCTAACGTACCACTTGAAAGCAAAGCATACTATAAGCATACCACCCTAACGTAACATAAAAATACATAGTTATGTACCACTTGAAACCAAAGCAAGACACCCCTAACGTAAGATGGTTATGTACCACTTGAAACCAAAGCAAGTCACCCCTAACGTAAGCCTGTCCCCCCTATTTCCAACATGGTTATGTCCCACTTGAAACCAAAGCAAGACACCCCTAATGTAAACCTGTGCCCCCCATTTCCAACATGGTTATGTCCCACTTGAAACCAAAGCAAGACACCCCTAATGTAAGCCTGTGCCCCCCATTTCCAACATGGTTATGTCCCACTTGAAACCAAAGCAAGACACCCCTAACGTAAACCTGTGCCCCCCATTTCCAACATGGTTATGTCCCACTTGAAACCAAAGCAAGACACCCCTAACGTAAGCCTGTCCCCCCCATCCCAAACATGGTTATGTACCACTTGAAATCAAAGCAAGACACCCCTAGCGTAAACCTGCCCCCCCCCACTTTTCAACATGGTTATGTACCACTTGAAATCAAAGCAAGACAGCCCTAACGTAAGCCTGTCCCCTCCATCTTAATAATAAACATGGTTATGTACCACTTGTAACCAAGATTATTGAAGAAGCGTCTTCCAAGTTTGGTCGGGGGAGGGGACGAATTAGTCTCCACCAAACAAACTACGCTGGCTATATCACTTTATACATAGTATATACATAGTATATATATACACACAAGGCCTATATATATAAACATACATATATGTATATACATAGTATATAATATATAGCCAGGAGTATATAATTTGCCAGGG